TTTATAGATGCCTTTTTTTTAGGTATGAGCACCTTTGTGGTGTGGACCTGCACAGTTTTCGGCTCTCCTTTAAATAACTGTCGCTAGCTGGAAGGCGACGGCCGCTTAGTCGGAGTTCACTCCCTTGGCTGCAGTGCAAATACGGAGCGGACAAGTCACGAATCAAAACACAAAGTGAGGTCGACATGCTGCTACAGCTAGACCACACGCTGCGACTGACAGTAGCGACCGCGGTCTTGAGACGCAAGACTCTTGTAGACCACGCGCTGCAACTCAAATTAGCGACTGCGTTCTTCCGACCACGACTTAGTGACCGTAGATGTGAGACCTGCAGATCTGTATGTCGTAATGAGCGATAAGCTTCCGTCGTTTCCGTGATATGTCACCCTAACCCTACCCATAACCCTACCCCAAACCCTAACCCAACCCTACCCCTAACCCAAATCCTAAGCCTAACCCTAGGATGACAGGTAACTATATTAATGTTTCGTTCCCTCTTTACCACTCCGTATTTGCACTGCAGCCAAGGGAGTGAACTCCGACTAAGCGACCATCGCCTTCCAGCTTGCAACCGTTATTTAAAGGAGAGCCCAGTTTTCTACCCAAAAAAAGTCAGAGAAAAGGATAAACATAACACTTACATTTAAAGGTTATAGATTTAATTATTTGTTTGTTACCTGAGTTATCAAGAAAGCAAATAACTGTAACGCTATCAAGCATATAGAAAGAGCTAGCTACATATCCCTGTGTAAGTTGGAACTGCAGTTAAAAAAACAACAACAACAAAACCACAAAATGGCAGTTGTGAAAAGTCTCAAAATGGCCTGGTATGAGTTGGTTGTGGGCCTACGCCCAAATGGGAAATAGAGAAAACAGAAGAAGAAATTTCACAGATATAAATATTATGTCTGCGCGGTAATATACTTTGCGTAGAAAGAACACACACAAGTAGGCAAATATAACGCGAGAGATTCAATTATATCGATCTATCTATGGTCATCGAACCTCGTATACAACTCAGGGGTCATACAAGCCTCCTGAAATTTGTGGTAAAGTATTTCCTCAACAGGAAAAGAAAGAAATAGCTTGCCTCTAACACATGCTGACCTAGTATATGTTCGAAAACATATCTCCACACACACACACAGCTACATAATCTTCTATTTCTTTTCTCTAGTATATAATGCACATTAACTCATTAGCTACCACAGATTTAAAACAGGCCATAGTTCCATATTTCTCAAATATTCTCTTCTTCTGAGAATGGGGTCACATAATGTCAGCTGTGCTACAGCCTGTAGTTGTTGGGCGATAATATCTGGATAAGATCCAGCGTATTTCACATTTAAAAACCAACTTTATGAAGTGTTACTACAATAGCGTAGTTAATGAGTTAAAGCATTCTATGTTAGATTTGTAAAAAAGGTCTACGGTTAATAAAAACTAATAAATAAGATTTAGCCAAGTCAGCTGGCAATGAAACATAAGAGGAAGAATGGTTATCTGCCATAGCCCAAGATCTAGGACAGTGTACCCTTGATGGGGTTAAACAATTTGAAGAATGAATTGTTGACAAACGCAACTTACCTTGTAGATTAGGGTGTCTCCTGACAGGAATTGACTTAGATGATAAAAGTGTTTGCAGGTGTATGTAATTTACGTTGAAATAGAGGGGAAGATCTAAAACTTCAGCAACAGGAACAACTGTTAGCCAGCAAAGCCTGCGACCCACAGAGCCAGCGTCAGCGCTTTGTTTACGTATCAAGGTTGCTACAATCTCATTGGCTGTCGCCTGACCCCGGGAGAACCCAACAAGATGTACTACAATTTCGTTGGCTAGGAAATGACCCCTTGGGGTAACCAACTACATATTCATGAGGTCAAATACCATATACGGCTTGGGAGAGTTGATCACGCAGGTATCACGTAATACCCCCGGTAGTACAGAATTATCTGGGCGGACGGGATTGGTTGATCCCAATATTGACTGGGATATTCTTAGATTTCCACGCAAAGAGTTTGCACACATTGAGTATTTCTGGGTATTATGTAAACACACTAGAGCAGTGGTCTTCAACTTTTTTCCCCCCAGGTCGCGCTTACTTTGAGCACGGCCAGCTTCAGATACTGGAGCTGGCCGTGCTTTGAGTAATTGGCAAGACTTCTGCGTCCTCCTTGAGTTTATCCCAAGATCCGTAGCCCCCCCCCCCCACCCCCCGTGTATAAGACAAAACCAACATGCCCCAACATAACAAAATGTGATTAAAAACTGGACAATTCCACAAGGGAGAAACAGAAAATATGGTGATACATTTTGGTCAGAATTTTTTTCTTAATCTGTAATTAAATGCGCCTTTTATCACATGAATTTGATTTTTATGGGTAGATGTTCAAATTACTCATGAAAAAACAAAAAATGTCCTTGTCGTTTTGTTAATAAATAATTGTTACAACTTAGAGCCTCACAATTTGTAGGGGCGTCAGCAAATTTAATTTTTTTACACAAATACAATTTTCGTTTAATATAAATTATTATAAAATATCATCATCATCAAGTGCCCTGCCAGTTGGCGTGGGCGTTCATGCATCTTTCACAGATCTTGGTCTTTGGTGTTCTGGATCAATTCCACTGTCGGTAATTCTCCATGCCACAGTCTTAAGCCATCCACCATCATTTCTCTTTATCGACCTCTGTCTCTTCTACCAGTGATCTTTCCAGGCGTCACGATATTTTCCGTTGCTCCTTTTCTCATTACATGACCAAATAACTCTGTATTTCTTCTTCTCATTGTTTAATATAATGTTCCATTTTCATTAAGGGTTTAAGAGGATTATTTATATAATACAATACAATATCTGCTGTTTTGCAGAGATATTCTTTCTTATTTTTTTTTTTAAAACTAAAACTTAAACAATTAAATTCAATCATCCATACATTTAAAACGGGTGAATATTTTAAAATGTAAGATAACAGAGAGGTAAAAACTGTATACACAAGGGAGATGAATGGCTGTAGAGCACGAGACATATCAAGAAAACGATAGAAAGATAATGACCAGGCAGACCTTCAAACACTTCGTATCACCAACTGGAAATAGAAGACCAACCAGAGAGATGAGTGGAGGCGGGTGATATCTGCAGCATTGAATCTCAAGGGCTCGGAATGCTGAAGAAGGCCAATCAGAGAGATGAATGGAGGCGGGTGATATCTGCAGCAATCAATATCAAGGGCTCGAAATGCTGAAGAAGGTCAACTAGAGAGATAGGTGGAGGCGAGTGATATTTGTAGCAAGTATGGCGAGTATCTTTGGATACATGTGGTATATAATGACTGTTCACAGACACTGCCACAATTCGGATGAGAATCCCCCAGGGGAAAGTCCCAGAAACAACGTCAAACTATTATCATCATGTGCCCTGCCAACTGGCGTAGGCGCTCACGAGTCTTCACAGATCCCGATCTCTGGTTTCCTGGAACAGCTCTCTTGATGATATCCCTCCATGCCATCGTTTCAGCCCATCCAGCATCATCTCTCTGGGTCTGCCTCTAGCCCCTTTTCCACTCTTTCCAGTTGTCACAATGTTCTCCAATGTCCCTCTTCTCCTTATGTGTCCAAAGAACACTGTTTGCACTTTCTTATTGTTGGATATAGAAATCTACTTTCATTAGCTTCCTTCAAGCAATCGTTGTTAGTCACTCTGGCCGTCAAACCATTAAGTTGGTAGCTGGGGTGGTGTTTTAAAAACATTTCGTCTCATAATGGAACTGGAATAATAACCGAAATAGTTTAATACTGGTTCCGTCCCAATTTTCCCGATATCGTCATTTCGTATTCTTCTTCTTTGTTCATCGGCTGTAAGCTCCGGCGGGATGTCTTGGTTGTTCGTCCATTTGGACACTGGATTTGTGTCAATGACTTTTGCGTGTATATCTTTTTACTGGCTTACTTGTGTGCGGTTGGTTGTTCCTTGCTGCTCGGGCAGATGCACTCCGAAAGAAACTCCCAATAGGTCGACTAGTACGACATGCTTGCTGGGAAGACAATGGATTTCTTCTTGTTTTTCCCACAATGGGGCCCCAGAAACCCACACGGGGATCGTCATTTCTGATCCTGTCTTTTCAAGTTATATTTACTAATTGATTTATGATAATCTTAGGAGATGTGGATATACAGAAGATTAGGTCGTATTTCATGGAAACTTTTTAAAAAGGTTGTTGCGTATCCTCTAGAGGACGTTGCAGAACCAACCCTAACAGCCCCTGGCTGTTGTGTGGTTTCTCTAGGCAAATTTACGTCCAGTAGTTTGCCATTTCTTCTGGACGGTCGGCTTTCTTGATACCACTGTCGAAACCAACGCAAGGCACATTGCCCGCAGCTGGGATCGAACCTGGCATCCCGGCATTACGAAGCGAAGTGTTCGCATCGACTTAGCCACAGAGCCGACTCATGGAAACTAAAGCTATCAAATACAGAGGTACTGAGGAAATTGGGAATGAAAAGAGAGTTGCTAGAGGAAATAAAAAAGAGACAAGTGAAATATTTTGGCCACATTAAAAGAGATAACAGTATTGTAAAGATCATCCTAGAGGGAAAGGTTCAAGGTAGTCGAGCAAAAGGCAACCTGCTTTACAAGTGGGAGGATAACATCAAGAGATGGACGAACAGCAGTATGAGTGAGTTTACATCAAGGGCTTGTTGGAGATCCATTGCAGCCAACCTTCATTGTGGAGACGGCACCTGACTGATTGATTGAATCCATAGACATTTCGTTTCTGTTTCGATTTTTCCTTAGCCTTATTTACGTTTGACACTGACAGCTCAATGCTGGCAAAAATAATTTATTAAATAGTGCTCATCTGGTGTCAGTTAGACACCCACACGAAAAAAACAAAAACTGAAATATGTTCATGGTATAGCGGGACCTTTCAGAAACATATTTTACATGCTTGCTTCTTTCTCTCAACCGGAAGTGGAATTGAACAGTGAGTGAACATCAAAATGGCGGCTGCTATGAACGGTGTTTTTCAGAAATCCCTGCAAGAAAACATAAAAAAATGCAAACTATTGATGGTCGGCGCAGGAGGAATTGGTTGTGAGCTGCTAAAGAATCTGGTTCTGACAGGATTCAATGATATTGAATTGGTAATTTTTGTTTGTTAGTATTTGTTAGTAAAGTTAACCAGTTAGACAAGACCGGTCCGAGCAATGTGGACAGATGAGCAGACGTGAGATTCAGTTTGTTCAGATTGGAATGAAAACAAAGAAATTTCAAAGTTAAGTTTAATTCAGGCAGTTGAAGTTTAAAACACGGGGCAATTTGCGCCAATTGAAATAAGAAGTTACATGAATTTATAAGTATTGATAGACACTTATCGAATCAGAAAATGTTTGCATCCTGTCTCTATCAGTAGAAGTAATTTAATCTACTTCAGTAAAATTTTTAAAATGCCCTCTACACCAATAAAACCAGCACAGTTAGATAGCTGTAAACAATCTCTTTCCAATGGTACCTCATTTAGGCTTGTATGTCATTTCTGAGCTGACAAGATGGCAGGCAATGAGACTCAGCTCACTCAGCCGCATGCGATTGCCTAAAAAAATGTCACTGTACATCTACTTAGCCACGTACCAGAAATAAATTTTATACACAAATGTAAAATTGGACGGAGAATTCAATTATAACTAGCATTACCTACTGATTACCAGGTACAGTAACAGTTAAAGCCTAAAGCCAACCTCGAATTTACCACTATTTTCAATCAAACTGATGACTAACAGAAAAACAGAGGACGTCCGGCTGTCGTAGACATGCGCTGTTAATCGAGTTCTTTCCTGCCGTTTTCAGCTAGTTAGAGTGGGTGAAAACCACACCAATCGCAAAATTTCATGAGAGATTAGGACCCATCCCGAAACCCCAGCCGACATTTCCTAAACAAGTTTCAAACGGTTTCTATGGTAACGGAAATTGTCGAAAAGATTGCAAATTTCCGAAACTGTAGTGGCTAAATTTAAACATCAAGATCATACAAGTTTATTTCCATGTCATTTTATTTATCACTGTAAAAGTAAAGTTGGTAGATGTGAACCATCGTCATTGCACACGGTTATAAACCATAAGTGCTCTGCCACAATAAAACACAGCTCATAAGAAACTGCCTGTGTCACCGTCAGCACGCAACTCCATAGCTACAGTGACGTTCCTCCATTTACCCCTGAGTGTTAACTCTGGTACCCATGACCTAGAGGCTGGGTGAAACAAAATTATATTTAATAATATTAGTTCAACCCATCTAAGTTTTAATTATGTGTGGGCTCTCCATTCAACTACGGCCGGTAGACAACAGTAGACGGCCTGTTAGTCGGAGTTCTGTTCCCTGGCTGCAGTGCAATTACAGACTGGACAGGAGGAAACGAAACAAATGACATAATTACTGTGTGTTGGCGATAGACAGCATAAACTGCCCTGCTATGATCATAGTTTGGGTTAGGGTAGGGTTTGGGTTAGGTGTAGGGTTTGGGTTAGGTGTAGGGTTTGGGTTAGGTGTAGGGTTAGGGTTAGCATGTGGGTTAGGATTACGGTTAGTGTCGCCGCATCTTGTCTTCGCACAAACTCAAAGTAGCAACCCAAACCCTAACCCTAACCCTGAACCTAACCCAAGCCCTAACCCAAACGCTAACCATATTATGACAGTAGGGCACTGCACGCTGTCTATCACCAACACACAGTAATTATCCTATTTCTTTCCCTCTAATCCACCCCGTAATGCGTCGCAAGAAGCGGTAATCGAACGCGGTCGCTAATTTGAGTCGCAGCGCGTGATCTGCTGCCAGGCATGTCGACCTCACTGTTTTTTTTTATTCGTGCCGTCTCCAGTCCGTAATTGCACTGCAGCCAGGGGACAGAACTCCGACTAACCGGCCGTCTACTGTTGTCTACCGGTTGTAGTTGAAAGGAGAGCCTATGTGTGTATATGTAAATATATAGATATATATTTAAATATATATATATATATATATATATATATATATATATATATATATATATATATATATATATATATATATATATATATATATATATATATATATATATATATATATATATATATATATCGTTACACCGGCAGCTCTCATAAGACATCTCATCTCTGTTATGATCTTCCACACATTAGTTGTAGTAAGCATCCATGTTTGGCACAGGCAGTGCAATCTTGGCAAAAAAACATTTTAATGAGATTTGCTGTGGTTGACAGATGTATCTTTCTATGCGTCAGAAGTTGTGATAATTGTCACATAACCTGATTTGCTTTTGCACTTCGCATGTTTATTTCTGTATCCATTCTTCCATCTGAGGTGAAAAATTAGTAGAAAATTTTAATTTACTTGTTTTATTTCTGTGTTATTTACTTTGATTCAGTTTCTTCTTGTCTACCAATTACCATTGCCTCAGTCTCACACTTAGTCTATATGTTTCTGTAAACTCTTTTCTGTTTTAGCTATTAATACTTGGTAATCTGCAAAAAACAATTCTGAGTTATCATCTTTATCATGTATGTATGTATGTATATATATATATATATATATATATATATATATATATATATATATATATATATATATATATATATGTATGTATATATATATATATATATATATATATATATATATATATATATATATATATATTTATATATATATATTCATGTGTGTGTAATATATTTTATGAGTTTAAACTGTACTAATACTTTGCTTTCCATTTCAATGATAACCAGTCAGTACTTGTTGAATTTTTTATCTTGAAAACAGATGGCTCAGATTACCTCAATGGTCCGTCATTAATTTCATTCTTGACAGTTTTTAATTCTTGGAAACCCTCCGTGTGGGTTCTAGGGCCCTATTATAGGGAAAACAAGAATAAACCCACTGCCTACCCAAAAGCATGTCGTAGAAGTCGACCAATTGGGAGCTTTCTTTGAAGTCGGAGTGCATCTGCCAGAGAGACAAGGAATCAACAACAGTCTGCACACAAATTTGTCAGATCTGTCAAACGAATGCCCATGCAACACTCAGGTTCTGAAACAGGAATGCAGTCCAGAAGTGGACGAACACCTGGAACTTTTCACCAGTTAACAGCTGGTGAACACGAAGAAGGAGACATTCATAGAAAATTCTTTCATTTGTACGTTTCTCACCATAGGGAAGGAGCTGATCTAATTTCTGTTCCTTCCAGCTTTGTGCTGTCAGTATCAGACATGGACAGTCCTAGAAAAATAAATATAAAATTACGTTCTAGGTATGTGAAAGAAATGTGGTAGGAGGAACAAAAAGAGACACCATCGAAGATCTGAGAACAATGGTAGGCACAGTATCGATAAATATTTTTATAGAAATCAAAATGTTTGGTCATCCGGTCAGAATGGAACAAACTCAGCCAGTAGCTAGAGTGTACTGTATGAGAACAGCATGCTTCAGTCAAGAGTCTGACCAAGAAAGAGATTATTTAGGGAGTAGACAGTAGAGAAACACAGTATGACATTAACACAAGCTACACAACTAGCAAAAGACAGTGAACTGCGTATAACTCCTCTCTGCGACACTTAACAGCATGAGCAGTAGGACAAAAGACAGTAAACTGCATCTAAATCTTCTCATTAAAACTTTACAGCATGAGCAGTAGGACAAAAGACAGTAAACTGCATCTAACTCCTCTCTACAACACTTTATAGCATGAGCAGTAGGACAAAAGACAGTAAACTGCATCTAAATCTTCTCTATGAAACTTTACAGCATGAGCAGTAGGACAAAAGACAGTAAACTGCATCTAACTCCTCTCTACAACACTTTATAGCATGAGCAGTAGGACAAAAGACAGTAAACTGCATCTAAATCTTCTCTATGAAACTTTACAGCATGAGCAGTAGGACAAAAGACAGTAAACTGCATCTAAATCTTCTCAATGAAACTTTACAGCATGAGCAGTAGGACAAAAGACAGTAAACTGCATCTAAATCTTCTCAATGAAACTTTACAGCATGAGCAGTAGGACAAAAGACAGTAAACTGCATCTAAATCTTCTCAATGAAACTTTACAGCATGAGCAGTAGGACAAAAGACAGTAAACTGCATCTATATCTTCTCTACGACACTTTACAGCTTGAGCAGTAGGACAAAAGACAGTAAACTGCATCTAAATCTTCTCTACGACACTGTACAGCATGAGCAGTAGGACAAAAGACAGTAAACTGCATCCAAATCTTCTCTATGAAACTTTACAGCATGAGCGGTAGGGCAAATGACAGTAAACTGTATGCCTGTCTCCACCTTCTTCATTATATCCTACATGTTAAGATCATAATAATTAACTGCACATTGTGGACTGGATTCATTTGGAATGTTTTTCGACTTTGACCAACGTGGTGTTGTGAAATATAGATTCAGAAAATGGTGCGTGGCATGTTACCATGGAATTGGTGGTGCCTTATGTGATTAAAATTAATTGCAGGTGCAACTGCTGATCTGTTTGTAACTGCTGCTTCTGTCCATGATTAGCTACATTTCTAATGTCGGACTGTTTGTATTAGCACTTCTGATGGCTGCCCTGTGCTTTCAATGCGTGTGTATGCTAGTGGATATGCTGAGACAGCAGTCTGTCAATTTTTCCACAAGGGACAGTGATGAACATTCTCTGTGTTTTTTCATTGGTGCAGGAGTGGAGCAATGATTGGGTGACCTATTTGCTGTGAAGCTGAAACTAAGATTACCAAGACTAGTTATAGTTAACATAAATTTTTTGTTTCCTCATTGCAGATTGATTTGGATACCATTGATGTCAGCAACCTTAACAGACAGTTCTTGTTTCGGAAAGAACACGTGGGAAAGTCAAAAGCAGAGGTACAATTGTTCTTCCTTTGTCTTCTTCGTGTTCACCAGCTGTAAACTCTAGGGGAAAGTTCTGGTTGTTTGCCCACTTCTGAACTTAGCTTTGTTCCAGCACTTGAGTTTTGTGTCAGCATCAGTTTTACAGATCTTTTTTACTTGTATGTAGACTGTTGGTTCCTTGCCTTTCAGGCAGCTGCATCGAGACTTTGAAGGAATTCTTTTTTGCCACTAGTCATTGCAGATTAACAGATGATAGGTGGCCGAGCCATTTGTTTGCTATGCTGTGATGTTGTAAAGTCTTAGGCTGACAGTGCCTCCTTCAATTCATCTTCATCTAGATCTCCTTCTGCTTCATGTTGTTTTCATTTTCATATTGTACGCTGTTTACTGCTGGCGTTGTCAGATTCATTTTCACTGGGTGTCCAAATTGTTTGTTTCTAGACCAATTTCTTTAAATAAAATTTTTTTTACAATATTTAAATCCTCTGTCAGTTTGCTGGATCTGTTGCAGCCTCCCTCAACCTTAAAGTAGCACTTAATTGATCCACATGTTCAGAGACTCCAGTTTGTTAAGTTTCTTCTTTATTGTCCAGATTTCTACACCATACAACAGGGTTGAGTATACATATTTGAGACTTCAGAAAGCAATGGCAAACTACTGAACATAAAATGCCATGAATAATCACAACAGCAAAAAAAAATTTAAAAAAAAAAAAGCTAGTGTTGGTTCTGCACCGTCCTGTAACGGATTCACAAATAACTAACATTGTCAGTATGTTTCTCTTACTAGCTACCAATAATTTTTGCATATTGTGGGTGATATTTTTTAGCCATTTCTCTTATCTTGTTCTAAACATTTTCTATTGGCTGCTTGATGTTCATTGTTGGCTGCTGTTTTCCATTGTTAATTATCATTTTGTTTTTTGTTTCTGACTACTAAGCTCTTTAACCCTTGCACTTTCCAGATGCTACACATTTTAGTGTGAACTTCCCTGTGTGAGTTCCGGGAGCCCTATTATAGGGAAAACAAGAATAGACCCACTGCCTACCCAGAAGCATGTTGTAAGAGTTGACTAATTGGGAGCTTCCTTCTTAGTCAGAGTGCATCTGCCTGAGTAGCAAGGAACCAGCAGTCTGCATACAAATGAGTCAGATCTGTAAAACGAATGCACACCTAACACTCAGATTCTGAAACAGGCCTGCAGTCCAAAAGTGGATGAACATCCAGAACTTTCTGCCAGAGTTTACAGCTGGTGAAGAAGAAGAAGTGTGTACTAAAAATTCCACAGCTGCACAACTATTTAACAAACACTTATTGTATTTTTGCTCCGAATTAAACAGAGAACACATTTTGAGAAAAAAATTGCATTTGTTTCACATCATCATCTTGTCCCTGTAGTTTGGTGAAAAAAGGCAACTGGAATATCATTTATCTGACAGCAATATGACTAACAAAACAATGCCATAACTTCACAACCATTCAATTTTTGGAGAAAAAAAATGTGTTCCGTCTCCACACTGATGACCTTTGGAATATCACCTGGTGAGGCCTCAGAGTCTGTACCTTGGTGCAACTTTTATACCACCATCTGTATGCCACAAGAACATTTTCTTTGAATAAATTGTCCGCCTTGGGAATCGAACCCTTATATGTCGAGGATCATGAACATTTTGAAACACATTCACACCTGTTAGCGACACTGACTTTTAGAACAAAGTGTTAACTTTTCTGCATTGTGAACTTCTACCCGCACAGGTTGCTAAAGAAAGTGCACAAAGGTTCAATCCAAGTGCCAACATTGTTGCACACCACAGCAGCATATTCAAGTATGTATTGAGAGAGAAACCAGGGGGATTATGGGTTGGCCTTCTGGGGAAAATGGGTAGGACAGGGACACTGAAGAAGGCAAGGGGTGACAGGAACATGGAGGTTAATCAGGGGCGACACTGAGGTTTGGAGGGAGGACACTGAGGTTAGGAGAAGGAGACACCGAAGTTAATCAAGGGGACACTGAGGTTAATCAAGGGGACACTGAGGTTAATCAAGGGGACACAAAGATTAATCCAGGGGGATATTGAGGTTTGGAGATGGTAACACAGAGGTTAATCAAGTGGGACACATGTTTGGAGAGTGGGGGAACTGCTGAGGTTAATCAGGGGGGACACATAGGTTATTAAAACGGGGAGACGGCCTGTTAATGAAGAGGACACTGCCTGTTAATCAAGAGGACACTGAGGTTAATCAAGGGGGACACTGAGGTAAATCAAGAGAGACACTGGTCTAGTGGGGTGAGGGTTGGGGACCACTGAGGTTGAGCAAATGGGACACCTGGGGTTGAAAGGGTTGGCATACTGAGTTTGAACAAGGGGGATACTAAAGTGCTGTGATGCTGGACATTAGTTAAGCGAGTCACTGGACAATGTGTAGACCTAGAAAAAGGTGCGGTTCATGAGAATTAGTGCTTGGGTAAGTTGAAATGTTGTTGTTGTTGCTAGTTTTTCTGCATGCATGTAATATTCTTGCAATCCATTGGGCGGGGGAGGGGGGGAGGGGTTAGTTGAGGAAAGGGAAGGTAAAGAAGAACCTAGAATGACAAGAAATGGACAGAAGTTATCATGTTGATGTTTGTTGTTCGTCCATCACAAGTGATAAGAACCTCTCTTTCTTTCATCCGTCATGAGTCCGGAGGTGACTAATAAGTCCAGTACGTGGCCAGAAGAGTCTAGGACAATGAGGACAGGGCACAGTGTCTGTAGACAAAGGGCCTGTGTGATGGTTCTTTCTGGCCTGGCTTCGCTGATTAGCTGCCCTTGTTCTAGATGCCTCGCATATCGTTGCACCATTTCAGATATATGTGCACAGTAAAGTCTGGTCGTGTGCTGCAGCCTCCCAGGTGTCAGGGTTTCTACTGAAGGCTTTCATTGATGCCTTTAGTGTGTCCTTGAAGGGCTGTTTCTGGCCCCCATGAGAGCGTCTACCTTCACCTATCTCACCATAGTAGATTATGTTTGGGAGCTGATGGTCAGGCATTAAAACAATATGGCCAGCCCATCAAAGCTCTGACTGCATCAGGATGGTATTGATGCTGGGAGTGCCAGCCTTATCCAGTACAACAGTGTCCTGGACCATGTCTTGACACTTCATGTTCAGTATCTTTCTCAGACTGTATAAAGGTGGTTTGAGTTTTTTTTTGTGTGCCTGACGTCCTAATAGTCCTGGTTTTACAAGCATGCAGCAGCACTGGAAGCACTGCAACTCTGTATGCTTTCAGTTTGGTTTGACAAGACATGGACAGGATTAAGTTATTGTACACTTATTCATCAAACGAAAGACAGAGAACATGGCAGGTTTTGAATGATAGTGCTTCTAGCGATACACCTCGAGGACCCTAACGGGTCAGTTGTTGTTATGTTATGTTATGCTGGTTTTTATAGTTGAGTGCATTGAGATGGATACTATTCTTATCATAGAATGAGGAAATGCAACCTGAAAACTTATGAGGACAGGGCAGACCAGGCTTTCAGCCTAGGCTGGCAGCTTGTCTAGGATGAAGCTCTGACAGACACACAAGACAAAGCACTGCTTCTGATTCCTGGCAGCTTCTGGAGGTTACTTTGTTCCAAATATATTGGTGTTACCTTCCCTTGGGAGTTAACAAAGCATGTGGAGAAAGGGATCATGCTGTATGGGCAACACATGGTCTCTGTAAGGCTACTCAGGTTTTGTGCCACAGAAAGGATATATGCAAGCTGGTATTGCTTGTCAAACTCACATCACCCTGAGCTATATTTCCCTTGTCTGCCTACACCAGAATGGAACCTTGTCTGAAATGACAGAAAGTACAAACTTTTAGTCCTAAAACATGTTCATATATTTATAGAATTTTCTTCTGTAGTTAAATGTTGACTGTAGTTCTGTAATCTTTTTTCTCTTTTTGTTTTGTTGTTGCCAATCAGCTTATACCACAAAGAGTCACAGAGAAGAGTTATATTGTTTTCCTATCTTTTGCTAGTTGTGTAGCTTGCATTAATGTTATATTGCATTTCTGTAGTTTCTAATTTACTTCATCAACCCATCTCTTTCTTGGTCAGCCTCTTGACTTGTAGCCCTATGCTTTCATGGTTCTCTAATAGTCTCTGTAGAACAATAACTTTTCCTGATAGTTCTGTAATGTTTTCCAAAAATTCTGTAACTTTTCCTGATAGTTCTGTAATGTTTTCCAATAATTCTGTAACTTTCACCTGTAGTTCTGTAATGTTTTCCAATAATTCTGTAACTTTCACCTGTAGTTCTGTAATGTTTTTCAATAATTCTGTAACTTTCACCTGTAATTCTGTAATGTTGTCCAATAGTTCTGTAACTTTCACCTGTAGTTCTGTAATGTTGTCCAATAGTTCTGTAACTTTCACCTGTAGTTCTGTAATGTTGTCCAATAGTTCTGTAACTTTCACCTGTAGTTCTGTAATGTTGTCCAATAGTTCTGTAACTTTCACCTGTAGTTCTGTAATGTTGTCCAATAGTTCTGTAACTTTCACCTGTAGTTCTGTAATGTTGTTCAATAATTCTGTAACTTTCACCTGTAGTTCTGTAATGTTGTCCAATAGTTCTGTAACTTTCACCTGATAGTTCTGTAATGTTGTCCAATAATTCTGTAACTTTCACCTGTAGTTCTGTAATGTTGTCCAATAGTTCTGTAACTTTCACCTGTAGTTCTGTAATGTTGTCCAATAATTCTGTAACTTTCACCTGTAGTTCTGTAATGTTGTCCAATAATTATGTAACTTTCACCTGTAGTTCTGTATTGTTGTCCAATAATTATGTAACTTTCACCTGTAGTTCTTTAATTTCCTTAAATAGTTCTAACTTTCCCTATGGCTTTAACTTTTGCTATCATTCTACAACTCCTCACTCCTGTTTTTCTAACAGTTCTGTAAATGTTCTAATGTTTATATTTTCTTCAACCTAATAAAGTACTCTTTTTTTTTTAATTATTTTTATTTTTATTTTACAACAGCTCAGAGTTTGGTCTCGACTTTTTCAAGCAGTTTACAATAGTCCTGAATGCACTTGACAACAGAGGTAAGTGTTTCTTTCACAAGTTTCTGTACTGTTTAAGACTCATTCACCCACTGCATCATCTGACAAGTATCTCCTAATTAGTTTTTTTTTTAAATCTGAGTGTCTGCCTGAGAGGTGAGGAACCAACAGTTTGCATATGAATAAGCCAGGTCTAATAGATATGCATGCAAAACTCAAGTTCTAGAACAAGACCAAAGTCCAGAAATGGATGAGCAGCGGCTAAATTCCACCATAGTTTACAACCTGTGAACGCTCACAAGAAGACCACCAAGCATATTGTAAAAGTCAAATAATAAGGGATGTTTATTTTTTAAGCCATAGAGCATCTGCCTGAGAGCCGAAAAACGGGCTGTCTGAGTACAGGTGAGCTAGATCTGTGAACTGATAAAAGAAGAAAATAGAACCAATTCTGATATATAGAAGTGAATCTTGGTCAGGTGGCTGGCTAGTTGGACATGTTTGGTGGCAGCAGAGTTGTGGTTTTATAGACAGATGATGAGAATACCCTGGACAGGTACAAAGAGTAATGATGTCTTGAAAGAAACTGACTGAGGAAGATAACTGGTTGCCCACATCAGAAGGAGACAATCTACATTATTTGGCCATGTCATGAAGAGAAAAAGGGTTGTACATCGTGACAGTGGAAAAGTTGGAAGATAAAAGAAGCAGAGAAAAGATGCTGGACAATTTGACATCAGGGTAGGAAAGATCATCTGTGTCAAAAATGATTAGAATAATACAAAACAGAAGGCTGTGGATAGGACTACCAATGTCACATGACATGGACTATATATATATATGTATATAAAATCAATTTTCAGAATATTCACTGTCATCATCAAGTGCCTTGCCAGTTGGCATGGGGGTTTATGCATCTCCACAGATCTCGATCTTTAGTGTTCTGGATCAATTCCACTGATGATATTCCTCCATGCCTCTGCCTTAAGCCATCCACCATCATTTCTGTTGGTCTGCCTCTGTCTCTTCTGCCAGTGATCTTTCCAGTCGTCATGATATTTCCCAGTACTCCTTTTCTTATCACCTGACCAAAGAACTTTGTCTCCTTCTCATTGTTGTAAATGAGAATAATCAGAATATTGTGAAATTAAAATGCAAAGGGCGGTGGTCACCCTACCTCATTGTGCAGCACCGCCGCCCTAATTTTAAACAGCATAAGACGATTCCGGTCTGCACAGAGCAACATTTCATAGAAAGCGTATTTATTTCCACCTTGTGCTACCAGTGCCAGACATAGTCACTCACAACAAACCAGAAAAGAAAATTGGTAATCATGGAAATGTCTGAGAAGGGCTGCACGAGTGACCGGCTGAAATAAAATCAAGAATGAGGTCAGAAGAGAACAATGAGGCACAGAACCAATTCTGTTGCATATAAAGACAGTCCAGTTAGAGAAATGCCTTGTGATGTCATACCCTAAAAGATATGTTAAAAAGTTCATCCTTTGCTAATTCTTGCTCACTGAAGAAACACAGGAGAATATATACAGGAGAGAGACCCTACAAGTGTGATGATTGTGGTTCATCCTTTGCTAATTCTCACTCACTGAAGAAACACAGGAGAATATATACAGGAGAGAGACCCTACAAGTGTGATGATTGTGGTTCATTCTTTGCTAATTCTCACTCACTGAAGAAACACAGGAGAATATATACAGGAGAGAGACCCTACAAGTGTGATGATTGTGGTTCATCCTTTGCTAATTCTTACTGACTGAAGAAACACAGGAGAATATAAACAGGAGAGAGACCCTACAAGTGTGATGATTGTGGTTCATTCTTTGCTAATTCTTACTCACTGAAGAAACACAGGAGAATATATACAGGAGAAAGACCATACAAGTGTGATGATTGTGGTTCATCCTTTGCTAATTCTTACTCACTGAAGAAACACAGGAGAATATATACAGGAGAAAGACCATACAAGTGTGATGATTGTGGTGCTTCCTTTACTAATTCTTACTCACTGAAGAAACACAGGAGAATATATACAGGAGAGAGACCCTACAAGTGTGATGATTGTGGTTCATCCTTTGCTAATTCTTACTCACTGAAGAAACACAGGAGAATATATACAGGAGAGAGACCCTACAAGTGTGATGATTGTGGTTCATTCTTTGCTAATTCTCACTCACTAAAGAAACACAGGAGAATATATACAGGAGAGAGACCCTACAAGTGTGATGATTGTGGTTCATTCTTTGCTAATTCTTACTGAAGAAACACAGGAGAATATATACAGGAGAGAGACCCTACAAGTGTGTGATGATTGTGGTTCATCCCTTGTTAATTCTTACTGAAGAAACACAGGAGAATACTTACAGGAGAGAGACCCTACAAGTGTGATGATTGTGGTTCATTCTTTGCTAATTCTTACTGAAGAAACACAAGAGAATATATACAGGAGAGAGACCCTACAAGTGTGTGATGATTGTGGTTCATCCCTTGTTAATTCTTACTGAAGAAACACAGGAGAATACTTACAGGAGAGAGACCCTACAAGTGTGATGATTGTGGTTTATCCCTTGCTAATTCTTACTGAAGAAACACAGGAGAATACTTAAAGAAGAGAGACCTTACAAGTGTGATGATTGTGGTGCTTCCTTTACTGTAACGAGTGGTCTGATCAGGCACAGGAAAATGCATGTGGAAAATAGTATAGACACTTCACACAAGTGATGATTGTCATTCATTGTCTAGTATTTCTCCTGGTCTTTGGGTAGTGAGATTGGACACCCGTGTGAATTGTTGTGCATGTAAAAAATCCCTTGGCAGTTGGAAATCGAAAAGAGTAGCCTAACGACGCTGCCTGGGCAAAATTTTGAGTTAAAAATCTATCCAAAGGATCCTCGCCGGTGCTACAGAGCCTGTGCACTGTGCTGAGCTTCTTAGGACTTGAGTTAGAAGAAAGAACGGAGCACTTATGGGTAACTACCCGTGTGCCATGATGTTGATCCATTGTTCAAAGTTCAATACATTAAAAGGGAAGGACATAGAGCTCAAGGTTCACCAAAAACAAACTGGAAAGATGGCATCAGAGAAACTCTACTACAGCATGATGTTTATATGGTCGAGGTGGCCTGAAGAGCAGGAAGCACAACCTCGACACCTAAAGCTGTAAAAGAGGGAAGGAAGATAAAGAAAAAAACAAATAATGAAAGGCAGTATCTGCTCTGGGACTGCTTTTAAATAAATAAATAATGTGCCGTTTCCACAGTAGAGGTTGGCTACAGTAGCTGTATACCTTATTTACGAATGTTATATGTTGGGGCCCCAATCTCTTCCATGGTGTGACTCTCGTATCACTGTCCAATAGCACAAGAACAATCTACCTTTCAGTCGATCAGTAAGCGTGTCCTTGACAGAACGCCACTGTCTTCGATGCACGCCTGAAAGTTTCTCTTTTTTTTTTCTAGTTGGCCTCGGCCTTGTTCTCCATAACTGCGCCCTCCATCACTGTTCTCTCCAGACCTTAGTGGCACTTGGCATGTCCAAAATACATCAGTTTTCGGGAGAGGATGCTGTTTACGAGCCAATTTTCCTTGATATTCTGGTCATGAAGGATGTCTTTCTTCTTCTTCTTGGTTCATGGTATTCTAAGAATTCTTCTGTAGCATTTCTGAGTTTCTTCATCAAAGACTGTGTCCCTGACTCACATCCATGATCTACCTTTATCAGTTAACTTGACATTCTTTAATAGGTGTGTTTGTTGTTTCACAGCGGCACGGAACCATGTTAATCGAATGTGTCTGGCAGCAGATGTACCATTGGTAGAGAGTGGCACTGCCGGTTATCTTGGCCAGGTGACTGTTATCAAAAAGGTTGGTTGGTTGTGTGTGAGGTTTATAGTTTTAATCTGCTGTGTTTTCCTAAGGATCTTACCAGTTCCTCACCACAACATTGGTAAAATAATTGCAATAAGGACAGTACCTTGAGGTGATCAGTTCAACAGTGACAATTCCACAAGAGTTGCCGTGTAGGGACAGTTCCTTAAAGTCAGTTTGACAGTTCTGCAAAGGTTGTTTTGTAAGACAGCTCATTAAGGTCATAAGTTTGATTGTTCTGCAAGGGTAACTAAGGACAGTTCCTAAAGGTCGATTTAACAATGACAGTTCTGAATGGGTAGCTCTATGAGGACAGTTGCTTAAGGTCAGTTCACTAATGACAGTTCTGCAAGGGTTGTTCTTAAAAGATGGAAACAAAAACAAATCAAAAGTTCTGAAGAAGTTAGAAATGAAAATAGAGTTTGATGGAATAAAAATAATAAAATAAAATATTTGGGAGAATTTAACAGACATGGCACTCCTATAAAGACACAGGAAAGAAAGGTTGAAGGCAAGCGAGCAAAAGGTGAACAGAGATAGATTTGAGAAGATAGCATCAGGAGATCAGGACAAGAGATGGTGTTTGAGACCCATTATTGTGAAGATGGTACTTGATTACTACATGGTAAGACACGATCACAAACACTGAGGTATTGGATAGAGCAGGTGTCACAACAGTTTTCTTAGTGCTCAGTCTCCAAAGGCTCCGGTGGTTGGTTACACTTGGAGAATTGAGGGTAGAGTCCTTAAGGACGTTCTCTATGGTGAGTAACAGAAAGGTAGAAGACGTTGAGATCAGCCTCTATTACAATATGATGTGTCCAAGTGGGACACGAATGATAGAGGTATTGAGGTGGATTAACGTGGGAACAAAATGCCAAGGACTGTGTTGCGTAGAGGGGTGAGGAATCAGGAAGGGAACGAGATTAAAGGGGAAAAAATGATTGCAGAAATGATGAGAGCTGAACATCTGAAAAAAGCACACTAACTACATGTGACGGCAATAACAGTCCTTGAATCTCAAGCTTGAATTGTGGAAGAATTTTCTTTCAAACACAGTCGGGTCTTGCTAGTCACACTCCCCACGCCATTGACTGTGATCCCCCCCCCACCTGCTTCCCCCAGCACAGCATAACACTGGACAGATGGAAGGGTGCCAGTGGTTCTTGATTAACATTTCCAGTACCAAAGATATCTTTGGTGTTCTTAATGTAACAGATATCATATGTGTCTTTACAAACTCACATTTAGTGCTATTCCTTAAATTTTCACTTCTTGTCCCCTAACTTGTCATGTTTGCATGTAATTCTAGGGACTGACGGAATGCTATGAATGTCAGCCAAAGCCGACCCAAAAAACCTTCCCAGGATGCACCATCAGAAATACTCCATCAGAACCCATCCACTGTGTGGTCTGGGCCAAGCATCTCTTCAAGTCAGATATTTTCAGTATCTTCAGTTGCCTGTCCCTTATGATTAATTATTGTTTCTCTACCTGCTCCTAATGTTTAATTACTGTGTCTCTATCTGTCCCTTATGTTTAATTACTGTGTCTCTGTTTGTCCCTTATGTTTAATTACTGTTGCTCTATCTCTCCTTAAATTTAATTACTGTTACTCTTATCTGTCCCTTGTGTTTAATTACTGTTTCTCTATCTGTCTGTCCCTTATGTTTAATTACCATTTCACTGTCTGTCCCTCATGTTTAATTACCGTTTCACTGTTTGTCTCTCATGTTTAATTACCATTTCACTGTCTGTCCCTCATGTTTAATTACTGCTTCACTGTCTCTCATGTTTAATTAACGCTTCACCGTCTGTCCCTCATGTTTAATTACTGCTTCACTGTCTCTCATGTTTAATTACCATTTCACTGTCTGTCCCTCATGTTTAATTACTGCTTCACTGTCTCTCATGTTTAATTACCATTTCACTGTCTGTCCCTCATGTTTAATTACTGCTTCACTGTCTCTCATGTTTAATTAACGCTTCTCCGTCTGTCCCTCATGTTTAATTACCGATTTACTGTCTGTCTCTCATGTTTAATTACCATTTCACTGTCTGTCCCTCATGTTTAATTAACGCTTCACTGTCTGTCCCTCATGTTTAATTACCGCTTCACTGTCTGTCTCTCATTTTTAATTACCGTTTCACTGTCTGTCCCTCATGTTTAATTAACGTTTCACTGTCTCTCCCTCATGTTTAATTACCGCTTCACTGTCTGTCTCTCATTTTTAATTACCGTTTCACTGACTGTCTCTCATGTTTAATTACCATTTCACTGTCTGTCCCTCATGTTTAATTAACGCTTCACTGTCTGTCCCTCATGTTTAATTACCGCTTCAAAGCATGTCCCTCATGTTTAATTACTGCGTCACTGTCTGTCCCTCATGTTTAATTACCGTTTCACTGTCTGTCTCTCATGTTTAATTACCGCTTCACTGTCTGTCCCTCATGTTGAATTACCGTTTCACTGTCTGTCTCTCATGTCTAATTACCGCTTCACTGTCTGTCTCTCATGTTTAATTACCGTTTCACTGTCTGTCTCTCATGTTTAATTACCGTTTCACTGTCTGTCTCTCATGTTTAATTACCGCTTCACTGTCTGTCTCTCATGTTTAATTACCGCTTCACTGTCTGTCTCTCATTTTTAATTACCGTTTCACTGTCTGTCTCTCATGTTTAATTACCGTTTTACTGTCTGTCCCTCATATTTAATTACCGCTTTACTGTCTTCCCTGATGTTTAATTACCGTTTCACTGTCTGTCCCTCATATTTAATTACCGTTTCACTGTCTGTCTCTCATGTTTAATTACCGCTTTACTTTCTTCCCTAATGTTTAATTACCGTTTCACTGTCTGTCCCTCATATTTAATTACCGTTTCACTGTCTCTCTCATGTTTAATTACCGCTTTACTGTCTTCCCTGATGTTTAATTACCGTTTCACTGTCTGTCCCTCATATTTAATTACCGTTTCACTGTCTGTCTCTCATGTTTAATTACCGCTTTACTTTCTTCCCTGATGTTTAATTACCGCTTCACTGTCTGTCTCTCATGTTTAATTACCGCTTCACTGTCTGTCTCTCATGTTTAATTATCGCTTCACTGTCTGTCCCTCATGTTTATTGGGAACGGGAAGAAGATTCTTTGCTGACCTGCCAACTTTCACATCTTCTTTTACAGTCAGTTGTTTGGCGAGAATGACCCAGATGAGGATGTTTCTCCAGATACAGAGGACCCTGAACTTGCAGGTAAATATTTGTTTTGCTAATTTTTTATATTTGATGCTGTGGGGCGCTGCTAATTATATGTGTCCCCAGCCTTCTGTCCTCAGCCTTCCATCTTGTATTTTCAGTAATTTCTTCTTCTTATTCTTCTTTCCTTTTGAAAGGGTGCTTGACTGGTTGTTTTGTAGTTTACAGCTAGGCTGAGATCACCTGCGCCTTCAGCCCAAAATGTTTCAGTGTACCTCTAATAAATCACATTTTATGACAGGCCTTTTAAGAGGATAGTGTATCTATTCTTTTTTTTATATCTCAGGATAGGATCCTGAAACCCACACAGGGATTTGCAGATGTGAAGTTACGGTACCTGTTTTGTCCCCATGCTTGGGTGATCTGAACACCAAAGCATAAAACTCCCAGCCTTCCAACTGATTCACAACAAACAGTCATTTCATATTAAGCATGGCGATTTCTTTTAAAAAAATATGCAAATATTAAAGATTATTATCTGGTGAAATGATTGAGAGTTTCATGTGGCTTTGTTTCCCCAGCTGAAGCGGGCAAGGCAGCACTGGCTGCTGATGCAAACAGTGATGCTATTGGAGGGATCACTCGCAAGTCCACACGAGCCTGGGCTCTGGAGACTGACTACAATGCACATAAGATTTTCAACAAGGTATGTTTGTAAGGTCGGCATATGTGACTTAGGCTTCGTAATGCTAGGGTGCCTAGTTCGATCCCAGCTGCTGACGGTTTGTCTTGTGTTGGTTTCAACAGTAATACCAAGAGCTGACCGTTAAAAAAGTAGTGGCAAACTACCTAACGTAAAATTTGCCTGGGAAAACTACAACAACCAACAAAATGCTGCGGCTGGTTCTCTAATGTCCTTTAAAGGATACGGAACTAACTCGCCTTTATTAGTCATGCTGTATGGTGCATAAACCAGATCAGTGAAATGAATGTACACGCAAAACCCAAGTTCTGGAACAGGACCAAAGTATGAAGTATTAGAACAACCCCAAGTTTCTGCAGGATACTTCGTGAAGAAGAAGAAATCAGTGATAAGGTTTGAGATGTTTCATTGGTGGCTTCCCAGACATCCAGCAGCCTGTTAACATCAACAAATTTTCCTCAAGAAAAGTATTGTTGGATCACTTCCTCTTTTTTTAATTCAATGATCAACATTTGCTATGCTCCTGTTTCATCATGGGTCACAAATAGGATGGTGTGATTGATGACTTCATAGCATATATAGTTTGTCTTACAAGCTTCACATGGGACATTACAGTCTCTGAATGTTGAAGTAAGAATGCACATCACATACCTCGAGACGTGAATGTTGAATTAAGAATGCACATCACAGTACTCGAGACGTGAATGTTGAATTAAGAATGCGCATCACAGTACTCGAGATGTGAATGTTGAATTAAGAATGCACATCACAGTACTCGCTACGCTCCATCTTCATCTTCAACAGCAAAGTGCAGATTTTCAAATACCAATGGCACCAGTAACAGTCTGATTGTATATTCGTCTCACCCTTCCCGTGAGTGTGGATTGTCTCCCACATCCCCTGGTCACTCCTGGCGGCACCGTTCTCATCAGACCCTGATGACCTAATGTGTGCCTCCGCACTGTTTACCTGCTTCCAAAGGGCTCTGACATCATTGTGCTTGTCCTGCATCAGTTCCCCACCAAAAGGTGCAGAACCAGCCAGCCAGGCTGCCTGTTTGTGTGGTCTGAGAGCACATGTACACAGAATAAGCATAACAAAATTTCCTGTCTGTCATAGACAGGGGCAGACAGATGTAATCCAGGGCAGACAGGTATACCCTAGGATAGACAGACATACTCCAGGGCAGACGGACATACTCCGGGGCAGACGGACATACTCCGGGGCAGACAGACATACTCTGGGGCAGACAGACATACTCCGGGGCAGACAAACATAATCTAGGACAGACAGACATACTCCAGGGCAGACAAACATAGTCTAGGACTGACAGACATCCTCCAGGGCAGACAAACATAATCTAGGACAAACAAACATACTCCAGGGCAGACAGACATACTCCAGCATCCTCCAGGGCAGACAAACATAATCTAGGACAGACAGACATACTCCAGGGCAGACAGACATACTCCAGGGCAGACAGACATACTCCAGGGCAGACAGACATACTCCAGGGCAGACAGACACACTCCAGGGCAAACATAATCTAGGACAAACAGACATACTCCAGGGCATGTACTGCAGGATCTGTTTCAAACAGAGGTTATGAATCTGTTGCAAGGAAGCTACATTTCAAGATGGGGGGACCTAAGAGGCACTGTTGTTTTGTTTATGAACCAGACTGGACTGAATGTTTAGTACGGCCGATGTCAAGCATGGAAAAAGAAGTCTTCAGGGATTACTCTTGGTATTTACTGATTACTGCTTTAAGAATTGCTGGCACAGCACATCGAGCCATAGATGCCCTATCTCTGCATCAAAGGTGTAGATGCTAACTGTTGCCATAGCACACTGATTATACTCTTGTTGTTTTCCTCTCATACGTCCCTCCTTGTCGGGTCCGCTCCTTATTCCACGTTCACACATTCTGGCACATTTTTAAATCTAATTTTGTCCTTATCAACATTTAATCATAAATGGTTCCTAAGTGGTTCTCCAAATGTCACTCTTGGGGGCTTTTAGAAAGTGAGATTTGCTTCACTGCACCAGGTTTGATCCAGTGTAACCAGGAGCAGCTGCCTGCCTAAAATATCACACAAAGCACAAACTGTAACGCCACCAACGACCTCTGCTGACCTCCGGAAGCATTCCGGAACAACAGTTTGAATGGAACAACAGTTTGAAAATGAGACCATGACAGAAGGAATGACTACTCTCCCCTTGTTTGAGACTTATTTAGGGTAGACTGTCCGAGATCAGACTGAAAAAGGAGATCAGACTGAAAAAGGAAGCAGGAGCAGTTTGTGTGCTTTCTCTACCATCTAAAGATCGTCTGTGTAGGAGAGTGAAAAGAGAGAGAGAGAGAGAGAGAGAGAGAGAGAGAGAGAGAGAGAGAGAGAGAGAGAGAGAGAGAGAGAGAGAGAGAGAGAGAGAGAGAGAGAGAGAGAGAGAGAGATTCCCCTCTGACTCATTGTTTCTGTTTAAATTTCTTGAAATATGGCATTGATCGCCATGTCCATCATGTGTGTACAACCAGTCTTCTTCTGCACACAAGAGGGGTTGGCACGCTATCTTGTGGTCTACAGCTAGGCTGTGACGGCTGTCCCTTTCGGTCCCACACATTTGATTACAGCTAAATCATATTTTTGCCTTGCATGGCATAGATAGGTGGGTAGTGATTCCCCACACCCCACCACCAGAAAGGGGGGGGGGGCCCTCCTCTCAAGATGGCCCTGGGACCCACGCAGGGAACTGTCAACTCTTCTGGTCTCCTCTGATTGTACTGTTGAGTTGGGTCAAGAATGGACATCACAGCACTCGGGGCATTCCCATAGCGCTACGTCCCCATTCTCAGCAGCTAGCGCAGAGTTCCAATACCTAATGGTGCCAGTCGTCTGATTGTACTGTATGTTAATGTATTGAATTAGTAAGCCTTCTCGGACAAATACATTAAACACAAGTGAGTTTAATACATGCCTTCTCCTACACCTACACCAGTTATTCCGAGACGATATCAAATACTTGCTTTCCATGGAAACACTCTGGAGAAAGAGAAGGCCACCCCAGCCGTTAGACTACGATAATTTACCTGGCAAAGGTAAGGTTTCCATTCTCAAAAATTGTGTTAAATATTGCAAGGCTAGGGATAATTTCTCCCAGGCTACTCTCACCTCTTTCTTTGCTACCACTGAGCTTTCCAGTTGTCATATTCCTTACTGTCTTTCATCTCATTAGTTGCCCAGTGAACGGCCCTTGTCTTAAAGTATCTATATCCTAACAGACAGCATGTGAGGATTTGATTTAAATATTAATCCAATAAACTGTGACTAAAAAAACTCTAATGAAAGGGAGGAAGTGGAAAAACATGCATAAAACAGACAAATTGACATTTCAGCAAGAGCATTTCTCAACATGAACTACACAAAAGTAACAGAGGGTAAAGTCCTCCAACCACCAGTGCCCACCATGTGAATAGCTATTAAAGAAAAAGGTATATTTCACCTAAATGTATGTCTTACACTAATGCACATTATCTCCTGTCCTGAATGTGCATGATATCCTGACTTAGTGCATGTGAAGTACTGGCCGTGGTTTACTGACCTAGGGTACATACTGTCATGACCTAATGCACAGGATATGTTGAGTGGACATGCATTCCTGACTGCAATGGGGCTCTGTCTAGAGCTTAGTTGAACTCATCACAATGCTGTACTAACGTTCTTAGTTATATAAAGTTACTATGAACACACCAGATGACAAACACATCCCTTGGCAGTTATCGATCTTTATTTGCTGTTCCAACCGCTACACTGTCCAGTCGCTCATCTGTGTTCTTGTGGATGCTACACATGGCTTATTTATAACAACAGTTCCAACTATCTCACACGGTGATTCTCTCTGCTGTTATCTTTTGGACTATACATCTGGATCAGGCTAACATCTTGTTCCTGGTACCTGTACACAGTCAAGACTTGCAGTCAGTAGACATTCATTCCTCATCTCGAACAATTACACGTGGTCAGACAGTCCGCATTCTTCTCAGCTGTTTTGTTTCATTTGATTGCACACATACTTACTTACTTACTTAGTCGCTCCTCTTCTACCTTGGGGTGTAGAGGTTTGCCAGAGAGATCGCCAGACGTCTCTATCAGCAGTTTTCTTTCTGGCTTTGTTCCATTCCAGTCCTCTGTCAGTTAGGGACTGTCGGATGTTGTCTTCCCAGCGCACCCTGGGTCGCCCTGGAGGTCTGGTTCCCTGGTTCTTAGCCTCCCATGCCTGCCATGGTGGCAGATTTTCTCCCATTCTGCATACATGTCCAAACCATCGTAACTGTGACTGATCCACTCGGGTTTGTAAGGACTGGGTATCAAGATCTTGATGTATTGTCTGATTGCGGACTTTGTCCCTTCTTGTTGATTGCACACATTCAAGTCCAAAGTTCAACGGACTCCCTATCCTCTATGGCTTCACACCTTCGGTTCTTCTAGTCTCACGCTTTCCTCGTACGTCTATTCACCCAACTCGGGATACTTGAGACATGCTTATCTCACTTTCCTCTTGTTTCACAAGTCCTCTGACCTTGTCCCCCCAATCGGGAACTCTCTGGGATTTCCCCAGGAATTCACCTCATTACACTCACCTAGTGTGAATTATGTCCTTATATGCAAGGGTCACGTAATACATATTTGTTTTAAGTCCAAGGGTAAGCATTCTACTTAATGCTTCATTCCCCTTGTTTATTGATTACTTCTGTGATCTATCTTTATTTCAGTACAATAATACAAAAATGTAGATACTTAATTTTTAAACAGTTTGTTACCTGTGTAAATTAGTTATTTTGATGTCCCCGTAAAACCCACGTATTCTTGACCCCTTTTTATTTAGCATTTGCAGAGCAAAAAGCTACCACAAATCTTCCCTTCAACAGTCGTTATTTATTGGAGAAACATAATGTGAGGAAACCATTATAGAATTTCCACAGACAAGTGGAATTTCCACAGACAAGTACAGTTCGGAGGAGCAGATGGATCACCACAGTCTGGTGAGATTGATGCAGCAGGGAGTGACGAGAGGTTATGGCAGATGCTCGAGGCTCAGAGGAAAGGCAAGACGGACATTTCATCAGAATGCTACTGGCACCATTAGTATAGGAACTCTTAGCTGGCTGCTGAAGATGGGGACGGAGCACTTATGGGAATGCCCCGAGTGCTGTGATGTTGGTTCTTGAATCGAATCAAATCAAATCAACCACAGACAAGTCTTCATTTGTCTTAGTCAAGGTTTCAACTTAACTGAAATTGGGTTCCCCTAAACTTGCTCCATTCACGTGCCACGGCGGATCAGAAGCAATAACAAAAGAAAGTACCAGGAGAGAGGGGGCAGGGCCAACTAGTACGGAGGTGGACACAGGACACAAGTGACATCTTGAGTAGAAAAGTACATGAGATGGAAAAGCTGATGACAGGTAGACTGTGATGAGAGCGGTGTTCTGCAAAAGACCTGCTACATGATGATGATGAAGAAAGTTGCAAATACCACACAACAGCTATCAGATTGTGGGATTAGTTTGACAAATCCTATGAAGGAAATGCAATTATTTTTCACCATTATCTGAGGTTAGGTGTTTTATCCAGTGTCCAAGCATTGGAGGTTACAAGACGCAATAATAGTTTTTAAAACCCTAGGAAATATGTGGAAATCAAAGTAAATTAAAACTTGATTCAAAATATAAAATATATTGAACTGTAATCAGTACTGCTGTATGGAGCAGAAACATGAGGAACAACTACAATTACTTATAAACTACAAATGTTCATTAACTGTTACCTGTGCATAATATAAGGAAATGGTATGGTAGAATCACTAGTATAGAGCTTTGGAATAGAACTAAACAAATTCCAGTGAATCAAGAGGTGAAGAAGAAACGCTTGATTAGGATAAGGCACACATTGAGAAAACCTGAGAACAGTATAAATAGACGGGCTTTACACTGGCATCTTTGGGGGCATAGAAAAAAGGCAGACCTAAAACACATAAAGGGAGCTAGAGTGAAGGTATAAAGATATGGGGGACATGGGGTGAACTGCATGCAATAGCAAAGGACTTGAAATCACAAAGGAGTGATTTGGTTGAGGACTAATGGGAAAGAGGGCAGAGAATTATTTGAGGGTTGTTTGATATACTCATAATTTTGGGGAATATTTTCTTTCTTTTTTGTGTGTATGTGTGTACAGAGTTTGATTGACCTTGCTCTTTTTTTTACAAACATTTAGGAGAAACGGTGAACTCTTCAGTGATGAGAGATCAGCGTGTGTGGTCAGTCCAGGAGTGTGCCGATGTGTTCACCCAGTGCCTGGAAGCTCTGAAAGCTGATCTAGCTGCACGAGGAGAGGAAGGGATTTTGATCTGGGATAAGGTATGTTGTACAGCAGTCTCCACGGTCATTGTTGAATGTTGACATACTCTTAACATAATACCGGGGTATCGATTGTACAGCAGTCTCCACGGTCATTGTTGAATGTTGACATACTCTTAACATAATACCGGGGTATCGATTGTACAGCAGTCTCCACGGTCATTGTTGAATGTTGACATACTCTTAACATAATACCGGGGTATCTATTGTACAGCAGTCTCCACGGTCATTGTTGAATGTTGACATACTCTTAACATAATACCGGGGTATCGATTGTACAGCAGTCTCCACGGTCATTGTTGAATGTTGACATACTCTTAACATAATACCGGGGTATCTATTGTACAGCAGTCTCCACGGTCATTGTTGAATGTTGACATACTCTTAACATAATACCGGGGTATCGATTGTACAGCAGTCTCCACGGTCATTGTTGAATGTTGACATACTCTTAACATAATACCGGGGTATCGATTGTACAGCAGTCTCCACGGTCATTGTTGAATGTTGACATACTCTTAACATAATACCGGGGTATCTATTGTACAGCAGTCTCCACGGTCATTGTTGAATGTTGACATACTCTTAACATAATACCGGGGTATCGATTGTACAGCAGTCTCCACGGTCATTGTTGAATGTTGACATACTCTTAACATAATACCGGGGTATCTATTGTACAGCAGTCTCCACGGTCATTGTTGAATGTTGACATACTCTTAACATAATACCGGGGTATCGATTGTACAGCAGTCTCCACGGTCATTGTTGAATGTTGACATACTCTTAACATAATACCGGGGTATCTATTGTACAGCGGTGTCCATGGCTTAGGCTGACTCATAGTATGGGTTGTCGCAGGTCGACCTAGCCTTAAATGGGTACCAGGATGTATGTCCTGGGGAAGTAAAGACGGCCGGTGTAATGCTGACCACATTACCCAACTAATGCTGATTGATCTTGAAAAATATAGGTGCTCTTCCCATATGCCTGATGCACCTAAGACGTGAAAAAGGATCTTTACTTATCCATTGTACATCTCAGAGTTACCTGCCTGGCTATATTATGTATGTGTTCAACTTTCATCAGCTGACTCATTGATCTGGTAAGCATTCCAGTTCCATAAACTGTCAACGATAGAATCACATGCAGGAACTTTGTGAACAGCATGGTCAGTGAGAAAATATCCACAAAGTATTCTTTAAAAACAGGTCTAGGCTCTCAAAGTTGAGTTAAGAACTGACATTAGCACACAGGACATTCCCACAAGCGCTCTGTCCTTATCTTAAGCAGTCAGGGAAGAGTTCCAGTGCCACTGGTACCAGCATTAGCTATTAGACGCCCATCATGGTTCTCCAATGTCAGCCAGACTTCCCTTGGTCTCTTGCCCTGCACCATTCCCTCCATATGGTCATGATCTGTTCAGGTTTCTGCATTGTTCACCTACACAGACAGGCCTGAAGGCGTAGAAAAGGATGCTTTTATTTTATTTACATTGTGTATCCTGACAATAACACTGCCATCTGTATATCATATGCCAGGATGATCAGCACGCCATGGACTTTGTGGCCTGTGTGGCCAACATCAGAGCCCATGTGTTTGGCATTCCACTGCAGTCCAGGTTTGGAATCAAATGTGAGTACTGCAAGTTGTAGCTGTTGGTTGGTTTATGTTTGGGTTGGTGGCTTAATTCTCATCATAGCTTTTGCTTGTATAATATTATTGGGATCCCTTTGTGGGTTTTGGGACCCCATTGTGGGGAAAACAAGTATAGACCCACAGCCTCCACAACAAGCATGTCAATGAGTCAGCTTATTTAGGACATCATATATGATACATGATTTGGGGAAGCAGCTTTACACTCTGGGCAAAGGCAAGACAAACATGCAATCAGATGCCACTCAACACTCGAGGCAAAGGCAAGACAAACATACACTGACGCCACTCAACACTCGAGGCAAAGGCAAGACAAACATGCAATCAGATGCCACTCAACACTCGAGGCAAAGGCAAGACAAACATACACTGACGCCACTCAACACTCGAGGCAAAGGCAAGACAAACATGCAATCAGATGCCACTCAACACTCGAGGCAAAGGCAAGACAAACATACACTGACGCCACTCAACACTCGAGGCAAAGGCAAGACAAACATGCAATCAGATGCCACTCAACACTCGAGGCAAAGGCAAGACAAACATACACTGACGCCACTCAACACTCGGGGCTAAGGCAAGACAAACATACAATCAGATGCCACTCAACACTCGGGGCAAAGACAAGACAAACATGCAATCAGATGCCACTTAACACTCGGGGCAAAGGCAAGACAAAAATACACTCAGAAGCCACTTAACACTCGGGGCAAAGACAAGACAAAAATACACTCAAAAGCCACTTAACATTTGGGGCAAAGACAAGACAAAAATACAATCAGAAGCCACTTAACACTCGGGGCAAAGGCAAGACAAAATATAATCAGAAGCCACTTAACACTCGGGGCAAAGGCAAGATTAACATATAATCAGAAGCCACTTAACACTCGGGGCAAAGGCAAGATTAACATACAATCAGACTGCTACTGGTATGGTGAGAATTGGGTGTTATTGCTGGTTGTTGAAAATAGAGACAGATTACTTGTGGGAATTTCCAAAGTGCTGTGATATTGGATTCAGCTGATGTAATGTGTTTACGTCTGCAGCCATGGCTGGCAACATCATTCCCGCGATTGCAACCACCAACGCCATCATTGCTGGGGTGATTGTGATGGAATCGCTCAAGATTTTGGCCGGCAACATCTCCAAGTGCAAACAGGTATGTTACTCTAGCACTGAGGAAGATCCTTTGTTTCACTTGAAATCTTTGAACAGTGGTCTTCTCCTGCTTTCCAGACTCTATTGGAGCATAGGTCCTGAACTAGTTCAACTCAGACCCTTTATAAGCTTGTTTATGATTGTTAAGATTTTGCAGCTAAAGATTTATTGTTAAGATAGCTACAGTAATCTGATATGTCACACACACACACACACACACGCGTGCATGCAGTGAGTGCCCAAAGCCGTCTGTCTCTAACATTCAGGTCTCTCGTCCATGTTACCTCAAAGTCCAACTTACTTTAGTCCTGTTTTCCTGTGCCTTCTCAGTTGCTCGCGGATTGTTGATTTGCCAGTGTCACATCTTAAGTTCAGTAACGTGTGTCTGTTCCCATTTTAATTGTACTACTTCTCTTATACTATCAGTCCATCTTAATATGTTGAGGCTTATGTCTCTGGCCCTTGACGATGCCCATTGTCCATATTTTGGCCTCTCGGTAAACTTAATAGCTCTTGCCCTACATCAAATGCTCTCTCTCTCTCTCGTATTATCAAGATCACAGTATACAAAACACAAAGAAGACCTGTTGTTGCTTATGGCTCTGAAACCTGGAGTACAACTAGATAACCCATCTTTATCACAGATCTTTGAGAACAGTCTTAAAGACACAGCTTTGTCATAGATCTTTGAGAACAGTCTTAAAGACATAGCTTTATCACAGATCTTTGAGAACAAGTCTTAGAGACACAGCTTTATCACAGATCTTTGAGAACAGTCTTAAAGACACAGCTTTGTCACAGATCTTTGAGAACAAGTCTTACAGACACAGCTTTGTCACTGATCTTTGAGAACAGTCTGAGAGACACAGCTTTATCACAGATATTTGAGAACAGTCTGAGAGATACAGCTTTATCACAGATCTTTGAGAACAGTCTTAGAGACACAGCTTTGTCACAGATCTTTGAGAACAGTCTTAGAGACACAGCTTTATCACAGATCTTTGAGAACAGTCTTAAAGACACAGCTTTGTCACAGATCTTTGAGAACAGTCTTAAAGACACAGCTTTGTCACAGATCTTTGAGAACAAGTCTTAGAGACACAGCTTTGTCACTGATCTTTGAGAACAGTCTGAGAGACACAGCTTTATCACAGATCTTTGAGAACAGTCTGAGAGATACAGCTTTATCCCAGATCTTTGAGAACAGTCTTAGAGACACAGCTTTATCACAGATCTTTGAGAACATTCCTAAAGACACAGCTTTGTCACAGATCTTTGAGAACAAGTCTTAGAGACACAGCTTTATCACAGATCTTTGAGAACAGTCTTAAAGACACAGCTTTGTCACAGATCTCTGAGAACAGTCTTAGAGACACAGCTTTATCACAGATCTTTGAGAACAGTCTTAGAGACACAGCTTTATCACAGATCTTTGAGAACAGTCTTAAAGACACAGCTTTGTCACAGATCTTTGAGAACAAGTCTTAGAGACACAGCTTTGTCACTGATCTTTGAGAACAGTCTGAGAGACACAGCTTTATCACAGATCTTTGAGAACAGTCTGAGAGATACAGCTTTATCACAGATCTTTGAGAACAGTCTTAGAGACACAGCTTTATCACAGATCTTTGAGAACAGTCTTAAAGACACAGCTTTGTCACAGATCTTTGAGAACAAGTCTTAGAGACACAGCTTTATCACAGATCTTTGAGAACAGTCTTAAAGACACAGCTTTGTCACAGATCTCTGAGAACAGTCTTAGAGACACAGCTTTATCACAGATCTTTGAGAACAGTCTTAACGACACAGCTTTTTCAGAGATTTTTGAGAACAAATCTTAGAGACGCAGCTTTGTCACACATCTTTGATAACAGTCTGAGAGACACAGCTTTATCACAGATCTTTGAGAACAGTCTTAGAGACACAGCTTTATCACAGATATTTGAGAACAGTCTTAAAGACACAGCTTTATTACAGATCTTTGAGAACAGTCTTAAAGACACAGCTTTGTCACAGATCTTTGAGAACAGTCTTAACGACACAGCTTTGTCACAGATCTTTATGAACAGTCTTAGAGACACAGCTTTGTCACAGATCTTTGAGAACAGTCTTAGAGACACAGCTTTTTCACAGCTCTTTGAGAACAGTCTTAAAGACACAGCTTTATCACAGATCTTTGAGAACAGTCTTAAAGACACAGCTTTATCACAGATCTTTGAGAACAAGTCTTATAGACACAGCTTTATCACAGATCTTTGAGAACAGTCTTAAAGACACAGCTTTGTCACAGATCTTTGAGAATAGTCTTAGAGATACAGCTTTATCACAGATCTTTGAGAACAGTCTTAAAGACACAGCTTTGTCACAGATCTTTGAGAACAGTCTTAAAGACACAGCTTTGTCACAGATCTTTGAGAACAAGTCTTAGAGACACAGCTTTGTCACACATCTTTGATAACAGTCTGAGAGAGACAGCTTTATCACAGATCTTTGAGAACAGTCTGAGAGACACAGCTTTATCACAGATCTTTGAGAACAGTCTTAGAGACACAGCTTTCTCACAGATCTTTGAGAACAGTCTTAAAGACACAGCTTTGTCACAGATCTTTGAGAACAGTCTTAAAGACACAGCTTTGTCACAGATCTTTGAGAACAAGTCTTAGAGACACAGCTTTGTCACTGATCTTTGAGAACAGTCTGAGAGACACAGCTTTATCACAGATCTTTGAGAACAGTCTGAGAGATACAGCTTTGTCACAGATCTTTGAGAACAGTCTTAGAGACACAGCTTTATCACAGATCTTTGAGAACAGTCTTAAAGACACAGCTTTATCACAGATCTTTGAGAACAGTCTTAAAGACATCGCTTTATCACAGATCACAGATCTTTGAGAACAAGTCTTAGAGACACAGCTTTATCACAGATCTTTGAGAACAGTCTTAAAGACACAGCTTTGTCACAGATCTTTGAGAACAGTCTTAGAGACACAGCTTTATCACAGATCTTTGAGAACAGTCTTAAAGACACAGCTTTGTCACAGATCTTTGAGAACAGTCTTAAAGACACAGCTTTGTCACAGATCTTTGAGAACAAGTCTTAGAGACACAGCTTTGTCACTGATCTTTGAGAACAGTCTGAGAGACACAGCTTTATCACAGATCTTTGAGAACAGTCTGAGAGATACAGCTTTATCCCAGATCTTTGAGAACAGTCTTAGAGACACAGCTTTATCACAGATCTTTGAGAACATTCCTAAAGACACAGCTTTGTCACAGATCTTTGAGAACAAGTCTTAGAGACACAGCTTTATCACAGATCTTTGAGAACAGTCTTAAAGACACAGCTTTGTCACTGATCTCTGAGAACAGTCTTAGAGACACAGCTTTATCACAGATCTTTGAGAACAGTCTTAACGACACAGCTTTTTCACAGATTTTTGAGAACAAATCTTAGAGACGCAGCTTTGTCACAGATCTTTGAGAACAGTCTTAGCGACACAGCTTTGTCACAGATCTTTGAGAACAGTCTTAGAGACACAGGTTTATCACAGATCTTTGAGTACAATCTCAGAGACATAGCTTTATCACATTCCTTTGAAAACTGTTATTTGGAACCATCATCGATGCAGTCAGTGAATGGAGAGTCACAAGCTACAACAGAATTAATGATCTGTTTAAATTAGCACAAGTTACTGGCAGCAAGAAGGCTAAGACTTTGATGGTTGCAGCGTATGGAATGAGTGGCAGATAACAGTGAGACCAAAAAAACAACACTTTAGACACAGAAGAGTTGATTGGTGAACAACTAAGCAATCCAAGAAGACAATATTCAGGCAGACCTACAAATACTTGGTCACTTACTGGAAATAGGTCCGGTCACAGATGATTGGAAGCTGTTGATATCTGCAGCATTGAACATCAGGGTCTATTCTCATTCAACTCATATTTTATACACAACTTTTATCTGCATTCTCTATTTGCCTCAACCATTTCTGCCTGTAACCACTTTATATCTCTTTTATTTCAGGTTTACTTAAACCGAGTTCCCAATAACCGCAAGCGTCTGCTGGTGCCTTGTGTCCTTGACCTGCCTAACCCCAAATGTTACGTGTGTTCGGCCAAGCCAGAATGCACTGTTGTGCTCAACACCACCAAGACCACAGTCAGAGCATTCCAGGACAAGGTGAGCTCTTGTGTGTTTGTAGGGGGAATATTCATATGTTCATAGTCAATACTTCTAAGGGGCATATTCATATGTTCACAGTCGGCACTTCTAGGGGGCATATTCATATGTTAACAGTCAATACTTCTAGGGGGCACTTTCATATGTTAACAGTCAATACTTCTAGGGGGCACTTTAATATGTTCACAGTCAATACTTCTAGGGGGCATATTCATATGTTAACAGTTGATACTTCTAGGGGGCATATTCATATGTTAACAGTTGATACTTCTAGGGGGCACTTTCATATGTTCACAGTTGATACTTCTAGGGGGCATATTCATATGGTAACAGTTGATACTTCTAGGGGGCATGTTCATATGTTAACAGTTGATACTTCTAGGGGGCACTTTCATATGTTCACAGTTGATACTTCTAGGGGGCATATTCATATGTTAACAGTCAATACTTCTAGGGGGCATATTCATATGTTAACAGTTGATACTTCTAGGGGGCACTTTCATATGTTCACAGTTGATACTTCTAGGGGGCATATTCATATGTTAACAGTCAATACTTCTAGGGGGCACTTTCATGTGTTCACAGTTGATACTTCTAGGGGGCATATTCTTATGTTAACAGTCGATACTTCTAGGGGGCACTTTCATATGTTCACAGTCGATACTTCTAGGCGGCATATTCATATGTTCACAGTCAATACTTCTAGGGGGCACTTTCATATGTTCACAGTCAATACTTTTAGGCGGCATATTCATATGTTCACAGTTGATACTTCTAGGGGGCATATTCATATGTTCACAGTCGATACTTCTAGGGGGCATATTCATATGTTCATAGTCAATACTTCTAGGGGGCATATTCATATGTTAACAGTTGATACTTCTAGGGGGCACTTTCATATGTTCACAGTTGATACTTCTAGGGGGCATATTCATATGTTAACAGTCAATACTTCTAGGGGGCACTTTCATATGTTCACAGTTGATACTTCTAGGGGGCACTTTCATATGTTCACAGTTGATACTTCTAGGGGCACTTTCATATGTTCACAGTCAATACTTCTAGGGGGCACTTTCATATGTTCACAGTCAATACTTCTAGGGGGCACTTTCATATGTTCACAGTCAATACTTCTAGGGGGCACTTTCATATGTTCACAGTCGATACTTCTAGGGGGCACTTTCATATGTTCACAGTTGATACTTCTAGGGGGCATATTCATATGTTAACAGTTGATACTTCTAGGGGGCATATTCATATGTTCACAGTTGATACTTCTAGGGGGCACTTTCATATGTTCACAGTTGATACTTCTATGGGGCACTTTCATATGTTCACAGTTGATACTTCTAGGGGGCACTTTCATATGTTCACAGTTGATACTTCTAGGGGGCACATTCATATGTTCACAGTCAATACTTCTAGGGGGCATATTCATATGTTCATAGTCGATACTTCTAGGGGGCACTTTCATATGTTCACAGTTGATACTTCTAGGGGGCACTTTCATATGTTCACAGTTGATACTTCTAGGGGGCACTTTCATATGTTCACAGTCAATACTTCTAAGGGGCATATTCATATGTTCACAGTTGATACTTCTAGGGGGCACTTTCATATGTTCACAGTTGATACTTCTAGGGGGCACTTGGGTCACAGTTGATACTTCTAGGGGGCACTTTCATATGTTCACAGTTGATACTTCTAGGGGGCACTTTCATATGTTCACAGTTGATACTTCTAGGGGGCATATTCATATGTTCACAGTTGATACTTCTAGGGGGCACTTTCATATGTTCACAGTTGATACTTCTAGGGGGCACTTTCATATGTTCACAGTTGATACTTCTAGGGGGCACCTTCATATGTTCACAGTTGATACTTCTAGGGGGCACTTTCATATGTTCATAGTCAATACTTCTAGGGGGCACTTTCATATGTTCACAGTCGATACTTCTAGGGGGCACTTTCATATGTTCACAGTTGATACTTCTAGGGGGCACTTTCATATGTTCACTGTTAATATTTTATTGGGGGAACATCTTTAACCTGAAATGAAATGTCTACAGCAAATCCTAAATATAACAAGAAGAGAGAGAAAATCAGAAATAACAAGAAAGAAGTTGAGATGGAACCAGCACTAAACCGCATCAGGAGACAACAGATAAAAGGGTTTGGTCATGTATCGAGACTACCACCACATAGCAGCATATACCAAGGCTGGCACCCAATGCCTCTTTAAAACCTGAAGCTGAAAGGCCAAACAGGGCTAGAAGAGAAGGCGTAACAGGCATATATTGCTAGATTTCCCCCCCCCCCTTTTTGATAAGACTATATGGCAGTGGATGTGTGAAGTGGTTAGCTTCCTGCTAGTTGTCATGACATTACCCTTATATCTTTAAGTTTGTTCCATCTCCAGCCACTGTCAGTTTGTAAAATCTGATGATCTGAAGCAAGTGTCCGTCTGCTGTGCTAGCACAGCTGCCTACAGTGGATGTGTTTATAGGAAATTGTATTCTTCTTCTTCTTCACGTTCACCGGCTGTAAACTCTGGCGGAAAATTATGTTCATTCACTTCTGGACTGCAGTCCTGTTTCAGAACCTGAGTGTCGCGTGTGCATCCGTTTGACAGATCTAACTCACTTGCGTGCAGACTGTTGATTCCTTGCCTTTCAGTCAGATGCACTGCGACTTCGAAGGAAGCTCCCAGCTAGTCAACTCTTACGACATGCTTTTGTGTAGGCAGTGTTTCTATTCTTGTTTTCTCTATAATAGGGCCCGGTAACCCACACAGGGAAATTGACATCTCTAAGCGTCTTGTCTGGGAAATATTTTGGCCATATTAAGCGCCACAGTGAATGAGGATTTTTAACAGAAGGCAAGGTCTAGAAAAGAGGGGCAGTGGCCGACCAGAATGAAGATATGCACAGGATGTAAGAGAGAATTTGGGTAGGATAGTGCAAGAGGTGGGAGAGCTGACAAGGGACTTGAGTTTTCCCCCAGCCTGGCTGTGATTGAGAGCAATATTCTGTAAAGGAGCTGCTACAAGATGATGGGAGAGGTACTGATTTAACTTCAGATATAATTATTTATAAGTTTGGTGCCAGGTTTATTTATTTGTGACTCCCTTAGATTTCTAAGTGCTGTAAAAAACTCTTCCCTTTATTGTCTTTCTCATCACTCAGCAGGACCTAAACAAAACTTCACTCTCATGATGGCACACCTGAGAGTCTCTCTTTCTCTGTCCAGTTTCAGCCCTATGTGCTTTCATAGCCATGAAGGTTTGCCTCAACGTCGTTTTCTTGAAACCATTCTCTTCAGGCCACCATGGTTAAAATACCTCATACTTCAGGACAGGATGCTGTTGACGAGCCAGTTGTCCTCGATACTCAGATCATGTTGGATGTTTATCTTTCTGAAGTGTTTTAACTTCAAAAGCTCCAATTTCTTTTTTTTTTTTCAGCGATTAACTCTTTCAGTCTCAATGTACACACTGTACAGTCATGGGTTAAAAAAAAAAGTAAAGGACCCTTTTCCTTTCTTTAGGCGTGTAGGGCATATAGGTTCCTACTTAAAAGCCCAGTGAATGCAGGATGCGCCAATTTTTTTGTCTCTCTATACCACCCCTTGGACCTGTGATGCTAGCTAACCCTTCTGGGACTAAAAGACACACATCCATAAGTTGCCACAGAAAATTGCATGATCTCAAAGGTCTGTACTTAGCTTGCTTGTAGGTGCTGGGTGCCTTTTTGTACTTCCTGATGAAATTGATGGGAATGTGTACCATGGGTGGCTTAGTGGTAAGGTCTTTTGCCTAAGGTAGAGAATGTGCTGGGTTCATTTTATGGACTGATTGTTTTCTAGCTGTTCTGTTAACTTGGTTTTATATGACTGAGCTAGCACTAAACAGTAGTTGATACAAGCTGTTCTCTGTTAACTTGGTCATATATGACTGAGCTAGCACTAAACAGTAGTTGGTACAAGCTGTTCTCTGTTAACTCGGTCATATATGACTAAGCTAGCACTAAACAGTAGTTGGTACAAGCTGTTCTCTGTTAACTTGGTCATATATGACTGAGCTAGCATTTAACAGTAGTTGGCATTAGTATACCAGACCTGACATCCAACATTGTGCCAGTGACTTTGAGCAGAGGTGCACATTGGGGAAGATACTAGCACGATCCTAGGATAAGGAAAGGCAGCCTGTAAACTCAATGCTGTTGTAGGGCAGGCCAAGCCTGAGCTTAGTCTTGGCTGATAGCTGGTCTAGGAGGAAAGCTTTTCTGACTCAGCACCTTCTGCAGCATGCTTTGTTACACATATTTTGGTGTTAACCTTCCATTTAGAGTTCAGCAGGCTGAGAGAGGGGTAATCCTACAACACATGGTCTCTACAGTACTGCCCAGGCTGTGGGGAAGAGGAACTTCATTCCTGACCTTAGTGTTTCTGGAATTGACAAGCACCATCACCTTGGGCTTTGATTCCATGCCTTTGTATGGCCCAGTGAAAACTCTCTGGAAGGATGGATAAAGATACATGTATACAGTTGCCCTTGTTGTCCTCTTGCAGGTTCTCAAAGGTCACTTGAACATGATTGCGCCTGATGTAGAAATCGATGATGGAAAAGGTAGGGGGAAAATTGAGAGAGTTCTTTGTGTTTATTGAAGTGTCTGTTTGTGGCATCTCTTTGTTTCTGTTCACCCCATCTTACGGTTCATGCACACATGGAGATATCTTGTCTGTCCCTGTGTCCCAACCCTCTGTATGTCTGATAGGCTCTATTTTTATATAATAGGCTGTGGGTCTTCGGGGCAGAGAGGTCAAGGTCGTGGGTTTGTTTCACGGTGGCGCCGTTCAGTTCAAGAGTGCAATTTTTTAAAGGATCCCTAGGGATCGTCGCCATGGCTACAGAGGTTGTGCTTTGTGCAACACTCTCAGTAGGCAGCTAACTTTTCTGTGGAGAGAGACTGAGCTATATGGGTTAAAACCTGATGCAATGAAGTCGATCCTCTCACATTTACCTTTATAACAGGTACTTGTAGATACTGCTGTTTTATATATTGTGTAATCACTAACTTATGTCTAAGGAGAATAGCGCTGCAGGAAGCTGTTACCATGCTGTCTTTTTATCTTGTTTGTCTGTCACCACTCTGTCTTTTTATGTTATTTGTCTGTCACCACAGTCTCTTTATCTTAAATGTCTGTTATTTGTCTATCAGCACTCTGTCTCTTTATCTTCTCTGTCACCATTCTGTCTCTTCACCATATCTGTCTGTTATTTGTCTTATCAGCACTCTGTCTCTTTATTTTAAATGTCTGTTATTTGTCCATCACTACTCTGTCTGTTTATCTTATCTGTTATTTATATATTACCATGGTGTCTGTCTGATCTCTCTGATATTTAGACCATAACAACTGCTTTAGCTATTTTACTTGTCTTTTAGGCTGTGGATACTTCTCTGCATGTTTGTGAAAGTCTGAAAGTTCTGCTCCTTCTATCTTGTCTGTCTACATAAAAGGTTGAAAGTACTGCTGTGTTGATCTTTATTTGTAGGAAACACTAAGAGTACTGCTGTCTGTGTGTCGTCACTCTAAGTATGAAAGGCTGTAAAACATTGCTCTGCTCTGTTTGTCTGCCTGAAACACTCATGTACAACCAGTGACTTATGGTAATGATCTGTATCTGTAGCTTACACCTGCTGTGGGAGATGGAGCATCATTGGCTTTGTCTGGAGTGCTGTGATGTTGCTTCTTCAAAACCAGTTATAAAACAAGCATTGACATATTGATATTGCAATCATTCTGTTGTATGCAATACATGCGTGTGTACCAGGACCAGAGTTGATGCAGGTCATGACACCTTTCCACAATCATTCTAGAAACAGATTCCCAGTTGGGATCCTGGCCAGTGAGGATGGGTTGACATTTAGTTTGAAGATGGAGTGCATCTGCCTCAAAGTTCAAGAGCCAACAGTCTGCATACAGGTGAACCAGATCTGGATCTGCATGCAACATTTGGGTCCAGAAGTGGGCACAAAAACTGAGGCTCTCATTATGTTGCAGTAGTTTAGATTTGTGTTAGAGAAAACTACAATTCTGTGTAATTTGTATCAGTCATGAGATTCTTGTCCATCTACAGGAACCATCATTATTTCCAGCGAGGAGGGAGAAACGGAAGGTGAGTGATGGGTCTCGTGTGTATGAAAATGTCAACACTGCTTAAGTTTATTGGAGAGAGTTTTTTAAAATACAGATTTGTTTGATTCACTGACTCCATCTTCATCAGACTTAACAGCTGATGAATTAATCTCCTACTTCAGTCTACACACAAGGAGGTTCTCAGTTCAGTGCACAAAACCCCAGTGTGTGAATCCCACACTCTAAATATGCAATAACTATTCTGCTTGTGGTTAGCTTGATAATTAGAAACTTGTTATCAAGGCAGTCGCCTGTAGAGGACTATTTTTACACCTCACTCGCAACGAAGATTTCGGGCTAGACCTCTACTTGGTCGACTATTCGGCACTCAATTGCTGATGTGGTTCACATCATAGCAGCCACCTTTACTTCCCTGGACATTACCTGGTACCTATTTAAGACTGGTTTGACATGGGAGCAAAGGTTAATTTTGAAGAAGAAGAAGAAAATCACATCATTGAACCATAGACCTTTGGGTCGGCAGTCTAGTGTCTACCAACTATACTTCCCTGACAGTGACCTGTATGGCCTGTTTTTCTTTAGAATTTAAAACTTCTTGTTTCTTCTTTTGCTTCCACTTATCCCTCATCAGACATTCATAGGTTCTCAACAGTATCATGCCTTTTTCTATGCTCCATTGGTTGCTTCTCTGCCCAAAGCTCTCTTTGTTTTATTCTACATCCTATTCTTGTCCTTGTTGACATATATGGCACAAGTGATCTCCATGGCAACTGATCTGCTGATTTTAGGCCCATATTATCCCTGATAAATTTACATCCATGTCCTTTTCTGCTGTCCTTTGATCGTCCATGTCTCCTTTTTTCCATCTGTCATCCATCGGAGAGCTGTCCTTGCCAAAAAGTCACGAGGTATTCTACTGACATGTCGAAGCCATGTTCGTCTTCGTCCTCTGATTACGTTTGCCAATGATGAACAATTTCTTCTCTGTATTGTATTTCTCCCTGCAGTCATGTGGGAGTCGGCATGGTGCAATGACTAACTGGCTTGCCAAGTTGCTTCCCAGCAAGTCCCATCAAATCATAAAAATTATCTCATGTTTCATTTTTTTTATAAAGTTGCTTCCATAGAGAGAGAATCTCATGTTTCCAGACATGGTGAAAGACATCACCGCTGCCATTACAGGCATAACTCCAGCTGTGCTTATACATGTTCTCCAGCCATGGAGGACACACATTGATTAGTGTTCCCCGTGTATGTATGGAACCTTTTTGCTTGCCAAAGTTTGAAATTGAAATCTGACCACCATCTTGGGAACCAGCTAAGAACTACACCAATCAAACTTTCAGGAACCATGTTTTGTTGTCAGCTTGGCAGTAATGAAAAGCAGAAATTAATACACTTAAAATTCTGTGTGGGTTCTGGGGCCCTGTTATAGGGAAAACAAGAATAGACTACCACAAAGCATGTCGTAGGAGACGACTAATTGGGAGCTTCCTTCAAAGTCGCAATGCATCTGCCTGAGAGGCAAGAAACCAACAGTTTGCATAGGAATAAGTCAGATTGGTAAAACAGATTTGCATGCAACACCCAGGTTCTGCAACAGGACTATCCAGAAGTGGATGAACAACCAGGACTTTCCACCAGAGTTTACAACTGGTGAACTTGAAGAAGTAGTGGAAAACACTAAACCCATGCTATCAGAAATTCCTGATGACTGAAAATCATGTTTATGTTAAACAAAATTGATGCTAAACGGGGACTGACAATAAGACCTCCCTGCTGGGACAACTTTGTTCGTCTTAACCACATGTTGTTCTTTAGCCAGTTTGTGTTAATGAGGTTTTATTGTATAAAAATAGCAAATGTAGACATTTTAGGAATCATGCTCGGTTGTCGATCTGGCCGTAATGAACAAAAGAGATATAAAGGTGATATATATTTCAGTAACGAAACTTATTTGCTAGTCTGGTGATGATAAACAGAAAGTTAAACATTAACATTTTAGGAACCATCTGATTTGTTAGTCTGAACACATACACCTGCATTCATACAAACACACATACTCGACACAGATACACCCACATATGCATACATACATGTGTGTTTGCGTGCGTGCATGCAAGTGGGAGAGAGAGATTTTGACAATCATGCTTGGTTTTCAGTTCAGCAGTAATGAACAGAAAGGTTACAAACAGTTCATCTGGTTTGTATGTCAACAATTGATCAGAGAAAGCACAGAAATATTGGTTTCAATATACATGTTGATCCCCAGTCAAATGTGTAGTCACTGAAAACCAGATAAAATCAGTTGTATATAGGTCATGAAATGCCAGCCGCTTGAGCGGACCTGCTGTTTTCTGAGAGGTAATTATCTACCCCTTGTACTTCCAACAGAAAACAATGACAAGTTTTTGTCAGACTTTGCCATCGGCAACAACACCAGACTCAAGTGTGACGACTTCCTGCAGAACTATAATCTCAACATAACTGTGGCTCACGTGTGAGTGGTTTGTTTTTTTCTTTTGTCTGATAATGTTCCTGTCTCTGTTTCTCTCTTTGTCTTTCATATTCTTATACTTTCATTCTGGTTCATATTGTTATATTCTTTCTCAGTTAATGGTTCATTCCTCTACACTTTCTCTTATGTATTCTGTTTCATCCTGTCTCATTCTCTTATACTATTATTCTTACTCATTTATTCTTTTTCATCCTCTCATTCTCACTAAATGATTGTAACTTATGCAATCCCCCCCCCCCCCCCCCTTTTTTAAAAATCTTTTGACTGATTCTAAAAAATGGTGTCTGCAAATGGAGAGTTTGCTGTGCCATCTTATGTTGAGGTAAAATCAGAGTACTTTTTGAGCACTGCTGTCCTGATCCAGCAGTATCTTCAGCATGCTTTGTTCAAAAAGTATTGGGGTTTAAAAAAATTCCCTTAACAAAGGTTTCATAAAACTGGATTAAGTTGGTTTCCTTTGGAGTGCATCTGCCTGAAACCAACAGTCTGCATATACAAAGTCAGATCTATCAAACAGATGTGTATGCACAAAGTTCTGGAACATGACTGAGGTCCAGAAGTGGTGTAATATCTAGAACTTTCTGCTGGGGTGAAAAACCAACAGTCTGCATATACAAAGTCAGATCTATCAAACAGATGTGTATGCACAAAGTTCTGGAACATGATTGAGGTCCAGAAGTGGTGTAATATCTAGAACTTTCTGCTGGGGTGAAAAATCAACAGTCTGCATACAAACAGGACAGATCTGTAAAACGGATGCACATGCAAAATTCAAGTTCTGGAACACGAACATCCAGAACTTTCCATCGGAGTTTTCCAGCTGGCAAACACTAAGAAGCTGCAGTCAAACAGCAAACCCCTCGCTAGCCATGCCGACTTTCATTTGAAAATGTGAGTATTAAACCATGTTACCTTCCCCCCCTGTGTTTATCTGTCTGTTGTGGAGCCATGTCTTGTCTGTTAGACCAGCATTGTTCTGGATACAGTTTGATTGTTCCTCTGTATGTTAACAGGGAGAAGCTGGATGAGGAGAAGGAGTTTGAAGTGGTTGGAGATTTGTCAGACTTTCATCCAAAGGAGTCTACATCTACAACAGGTTAGTCTGTAATTTATGTCTGGTATTTGAGGTCTTTTTATTGGTCTTATCTGTGACGATAAAAGTCCACTATTTAGGGGTTTCCTTCTAAGTCGGAGTGAATCTCCTAAGAGGCTGAAACCAACAGTCTGCATACAAGTGAGCCAGATCTGTAAAACAGAAGTGTGCACAGCTCGAGTTCCAGAACAAGACCAAAGTCCAGAAGTGGACAGAAAGCCAGTGAATGCAAGAAGAGCAGAAAAGAGTAATTACAAAGAAAATACACACTGGGACTCTAGTTCTTAAGAACTAACTCCTTGTCTTCTTTTAACAAAGACAGATTGCAAAGAATATCTCCCGTTCTACCCAGTGCTGCATGACACAACATAGAACCTCTTTAGTGCACACATCTTTCATCTCCAGTTATTGAGCTACTGGCATGCTTGAACAGATCAATTTCTGGTTGGACATTTATATCTTTATTTTTGTTTCTGTCTGTCTGTGAAACTGAGCTCTATATTTTGATGTTATGTCCATAATTTTCAGATGTAGGTATCATCTAATGGCAGGTTCCTTACATTATTTATCCACTAAGTGATGTTCTCCTTCCATTTCCTGCCCATTGTCCGTCTTGAATATCCCTCCTGTGTATGCTGTCTATTTTCTCTGCCTTGAGTATCACGCTTCTATATATTGTCAATTTTTGTCATCCATGTTTGACATTGATAGCAGAGCATTGGTAAGAATACTGTGTTCTTTTAGTGTTCATATTCACATGCCTACATTTGATAATTGGTGCCATTAGGCCCAAAACTTGATTGGCTTTATTGCATCTTTGTTGGATTTCTTTATTTAAAAAAAAAAAATCCTTCGCCTGCTTTAACCGGTGTTCATCAATTTTGATATTTTTTGGTTCTTCCTTTTCTGGAGAATGTTATCACTTCTGTGTTGTCTACGTTGATCTTCATATCTCAGTTGTTGCATTCTGAGTGGAATAATATGCTTTTGTAGCTGTACTACTTACTGTTGGTGCTATGATTGTCATGAGACCATAAATTGTAGAGAAACGTAGAGATGTCTATATCTTTTGGACATGTTAAGAGAAGGAATGGGCGAGAACTTGGTGATAACTGGCAAAATGGAGGGCTTAGCCAGGTGAAGGGAAAGAAAGAACAAATAAATGGTTTGGTCACATGTATTGAAAAGGGTTAGGCCACCCATTTGATTTGTGTATTGTGAGAGGTCGTGAACCCTTCCTTACAGCTAGGCTGCGACATGCCCCTATCAGCCCAGCTCAGTTTCTGTAGTTACTGTGTTAGTAACTATATTTTCTGACATTATTATTGCAGACAAAGCAGCTAATGGAGGCGATGACGCTGATGATCTAATTCTGATGGAGAGTGAAGATACTGCTGTCACTGAAACCACACAGACAGGCCGCAAGCGACTGGCTGAGCCACATGATGATGATGATGGCCAGTTGGTGAAGAAGAAAAGGCTGTTAGATGTAGGAGGCAGTGGCGATGTGGTGGAGATATCTTGAAGTCTGAGTGCCAGTCCTGGAGCTGTCAAGCATTTTCATTAATTTTTGGGTTTTTCCCTCTACACAACATTCTATAGGTGGTACATAAGATATAAAAACACAGACAGTAGGTAGACAGACATTACAGGTGGTACACGAGACCCCCACCCCATTTTTCCATTTTTTTTTTTGCCAAACTTTTTGTGTGGCGAACATCCCCCCTCCCCCTAAAAAAAAACTGCAAAGGACAAGGAAGATGACATCTCTCTCTCGCACACAAACCCGTTACAAGTTTGAATAAAGTTTCCTTAGTTATTCTTTTTTACCTCCACCATTCTCAGATATCCTGTTTAAGTGTTGGTGTTTCGTGGTATTTTTATGACTGAGATTTGGTTGTTGCAAAAGAGTGTTTATGACGATTTGAGCCTTCTTTGCTTGTTAAACATTAAATGTTTCAATATGGTGGCTGAGGTTTACAGCTAAATTAAATTAAGTTGATGTTGGCCTTGTTTCCCTCTCCTCACGCAATATTTAAAAAAAAATTTTTTTTGTAGCTTTGGCCAGATAGCCCTCGCAGGAAAAATATCTCCTCCCACCCCCCTGAAAGATGGATGTTGGCTATGATAATTACACTAATAATCTAAAAGGTACGTTGCAGCCCTGGTTGTGTGGTTTTTTTGCCCCCCCCCCCCCCAGGAAAATTTATGTCCAGTAGTTTGCCATTGCTTTCTGGTCAGTTTTCTTAATACCACTGTCAAAACCAACACACTGCGCATGGCCTGCACCTGAGATTGAACCCGGCATTACAGAGCCGACTAATATACATATGAAAAAATATACAAATACACCACTAATTTCCAACTGCTGCTTAACTGTGGCTGTGCACAAAGGTGTAAATGGCACTTAGTCAAAAATCCACTTACATTTATATGTTGCACCTCATTTCAGTTCTGACCCTCCAGTTCTAGTTTCCCTCAGTTCTAGTTATTTTTTTTTTTATCCCTCAGTTATAGTTATTTTAATTTTTCCTTCACTTCTAGTTCTTACATAGATAATACATTTACTTTCTCTTTCCCCCATTCTAGTTCTTAACATTGTCCAGCAACATTTTGATGGACAAGAGGCATAAAAGTAACTACATTATACTTGTTCTGCGTCTGCCATCACACTGTGTTGCGGTTTACAGCTAGGCTGCAATTTCTATTTTTTCGGTCCAACACATCCGAGTTTGGCAAAACATTAATTTAATCTCCATTTACAACATGCTTGTTTTCTTTCATTCCCTAAAATAGGGGCCCCCAGAGCATGTGAGGAATTCATAATACCAGCTGTAAAGTCAAACCTAAGACAACATAGCAAACTCCCCTTGGCTCGGCCACCTACCATCTGTTACAGTAACGTTGAGCAAATACTGACAGAAAAAGATATTTACACAAATGTTTGTACATAATCTTTGGCAATGTTAGTTATGAGGCTGCAACAAATACATTTAGTTATATAAGTGGAAAAAAAAAAAAACCAAGACATGCAACCAGCATCATTGCAACTGCCAGTCTCAACACTGTGACAAATTGTCATTTGCACATTTTAACTGAAGACCTATCATTGCAAATTCCCATCACCGTCTAAAGAGCTATATATCTTTGCAAACATTAGTTCCAATATTGCCTGAGAAACTACTAATCTTAGTATAGTCATTGCAAATATCAGTCCCAACATTGCTTCAACAATGAGGAAGTATTCTTGCAAATTTGAGTCCCAACATTATCTGAGTAACTAATGTAACCATCAGTCCCAACATTATCTGAGTAACTAATAACTGCGAATGTTTGTCCCCCAACATTATATGAAGAACAAATGTGACTTTCGCCAACATTTTCATAGCTAATATCAGTGCCAGACTCAAAGAGGAACTCTCATATTGCCAGTCCCAACACATGCATAAGGAATGAATATGATTATCCTAAGATGCTGGGGCAAGCAGACTGTCAGATGACAGAGGTAAAAATTACTACATCAGGCCACAAAGACTAGACATAATATCCAGAGAGACCTACAAACAGTATTAGAGAAGGCCAACCACAAAAATAAAAAGAGATATCTGGGGCAATGAACCTCAAGGGCTCGGAATGCTGTAGAATATTGTAAATAATAGTAACAACGAAGCTCGGATTGGCAGACGGACACCGCAATTCTCTTCTGATTTGGCAGCTTCTGTAGCATGCTTTGTTTTAAAGGTACCGGTTTTACCTTTCCTTTGGATAAATAAGAAAGGCTGAAAGAGGGATCACAATACATGGTCTCTACAACACTGACCAGCCTTTCAGCTATGGGAACATAGACAATACATGGTCTCTACAACACTGCCCAGCCTTTCAGCTATGGGAACATAGACAATACATGGTCTCTACAACACTGCCCAGCCTTTCAGCTATGGGAACATAGACAATACATGGTCTCTACAACACTGCCCAGCCTTTCAGCTATGGGAACATAGACAATACATGGTCTCTACAACACTGCCCAGCCTTTCAGCTATGGGAACATAGACAATACATGGTCTCTACAACACTGCCCAGCCTTTCAGCTATGGGAACATAGACAACACATGGTCTCTACAACACTGCCCCCATAGATAATACATGGTCTCTACAACACTGCCCAGCCTTTCAGCTATGGGAACATAGACAACACATGGTCTCTACAACACTGCCCAGCCTTTCAGCTATAGGATTATAGACAATACATGGTCTCTACAACACTGCCTAGTCTTTCAGCTATGGGGACATGGACAATACATTGTCTCTACAACACTGCCCAGTCGTTCAGCTATGGGGACATAGACAATACATGGTCTCTACAACACTGCCCAGTCTTTCAGCTAAGGGGACATAGACAATACATGGTCTCTACAACACTGCCCCCATAGACAATACATGGTCTCTACAACACTGCCCAGTCTTTCAGCTATGGGGACATGGACAATACATGGTCTCTACAACACTGACCAGCCTTTCAGCTATGGGGACATAGACAATACATGGTCTCTACAACACTGCCCAGCCTTTCAGCTATGGGAACATAGACAACACATGGTCTCTACAACACTGCCCAGCCTTTCATCTATGGGAACATAGACAACACATGGTCTCTACAACACTGCCCAGCCTTTCAGCTATAGGATATAGACAATACATGGTCTCTACAACACTGCCTAGTCTTTCAGCTATGGGGACATGGACAATACATGGTCTCTACAACACTGCCCAGTCGTTCAGCTATGGGGACATAGACAATACATGGTCTCTACAACACTGCCCAGCCTTTCAGCTATTGGGACATAGATAATACATGGTTTCTACCACTGCCCAGCCTTTCAGCTATATGGATATAGACAATACATGGTCTCTACAACACTGCCCCCATAGATAATACATGGTCTCTACAACACTGCCCAGCCTTTCAGCTATGGGGACATAGACAATACATGGTCTCTACAACACTGCCCCCATAGATAATACATGGTCTCTACAACACTGCCCAGCCTTTCAGCTATGGGAACATAGACAACACATAGTCTCTACAACACTGCCCAGCCTTTCAGCTATGGGAACATAGACAACACATGGTCTCTACAACACTGCCCAGCCTTTCAGCTATTGGGACATAGATAATACATGGTTTCTACAACACTGCCCAGCCTTTCAGCTATATGGATATAGACAATACATGGTCTCTACAACACTGCCCCCATAGATAATACATGGTCTCTACAACACTGCCCAGCCTTTCAGCTATGGGGACATAGACAATACATGGTCTCTACAACACTGCCCCCATAGATAATACATGGTCTCTACAACACTGCCCAGCCTTTCAGCTATAGGAACATAGACAACACATGGTCTCTACAACACTGCCCAGCCTTTCAGCTATGGGAACATAGACAACACTGCCCAGCCTTTCAGCTATGGGGACATGGACAATACATGGTCTCTACAACACTGACCAGTCTTAGCTATGGGGACATGGACAATACATGGTCTCTACAACACTGACAAGCCTTTCAGCTATGGGGACATAGACAATACATGGTCTCTACAACACTGCCCCCATAGATAATACATGGTCTCTACAACACTGCCCAGCCTTTCAGCTATGGGAACATAGACAACACATGGTCTCTACAACACTGCCCAGCCTTTCAGCTATAGGAACATAGACAACACATAGTCTCTACAACACTGCCCAGCCTTTCAGCTATGGGGACATGGACAATACATGGTCTCTAAAACACTGACCAGTCTTTCAGCTATGGGGACATGGTTTCTACAACACTGACCAGCCTTTCAGCTATAGGATTATAGACAATACATGGTCTCTACAACACTACCTAGTCTTTCAGCTATGGGGACATGGACAATACATGGTCTCTACAACACTGCCCAGTCTTTCAGCTAAGGGGACATAGACAATACATGGTCTCTACAACACTGCCCAGTCTTTCAGCTATGGGGACATAGACAATACCTTTCAGCTATGGGAACAGACAATACCTTTCAGCTATGGGAACATAGACAACACATGGTCTCTATAACACTGCCCAGCCTTTCAGCTATAGGAACATAGACAACACATGGTCTCTACAACACTGCCCAGCCTTTCAGCTATGGGAACATAGACAACACATGGTCTCTACAACACTGCCCAGCCTTTCAGCTATGGGAACATAGACAACACATGGTCTCTACAACACTGCCCAGTCTTTCAGCTATGGGGACATGGACAATACATGGTCTCTACAACACTGACCAGCCTTTTCAGCTATGGGGACATAGACAATACATGGTCTCTACAACACTGCCCAGCCTTTCAGCTATAGGATTATAGACAATACATGGTCTCTACAACACTGCCTAGTCTTTCAGCTATGGGGACATGGACAATACATGGTCTCTACAACACTGACCAGCCTTTCAGCTTTGGGGGACATGGACAATACATGGTCTCTACAACACTGC